CCTTCCCAACTTTAGTAATTTGGTAAAATGAGAAGAAGTGAGAAAAAAACCCTCACTGGGATTCGAACTCGGACCTGATTAGAAGTCAGGACTACTTCCAACCAGTCCACGAATCAGCTGCCAATCGTCGGCGATTTTAACACCATTATTCCTTGTTATATAACTTATTCTCTAAGGCCCTGGACATCATGAATATGCATAACGTAGGGAGAGCGCCCTCTTTTGATATTGTTCGATCTCGTTTGGGAAAAAAAGCATTCGCGGCCGGGCTGTGGGTTGGGACGAATAAGTTAATGGCATGCGATCAACGACTGACGTGACCAATCAGATGACGGAGATTTAGTCAGGCGTTGTATAAAATGTAATATGGTGACAGTTTTTACGAGACACAGCTTTACTAATATTGTCATTGCAATCATCTGTGTCATCAGGCTAGATACACAAAGCGATATTATATTATTGTGTGGTGGACATTGTACCGTTTGATGACTACCGTGCATGAAAGAAACAAAATGATAAATTCGTGTAAACACCATAAACATCACGACATGTGATGGCGCTGAGAGCTGTAAACACAAACTGTAGACACAATAGGAGTGCTCTTTAGATTTCACAATGCGGCTCTCAGATCCGCCTGGTTTACTCGCCCCCGTGAGTTGAGTGGGCCATAAAAAAATTCATAGACTATACAAAACTAAAATATTGAACCAGCTACGAACTTATCCAAGATTAAAAACACGAAGATTTTTGTCCATTCTCCTGAAGACGAACATAGTTTACTGCTTGACTACGTCGAGTTCCTCGGAATCATAAAAGAAATACAGTGGTGTCTGAGAGGTTCTTTCACTTTTTCTACATTTAAAGATGATACCCCGTACGGTGGTACGGTCTGATACCCCCAGGACAAAATTTCATTTTGTGCACAAATGCACCCACCCTGTGAGAGCCGAATTATTGTCTGGCAGTCCTTATTTCAATTTTTGTGAAGAAATAATTCAATACTTCAACGTCGATGGATTTTTTCGTTCTATGTCTCTTTCCAACGTGAATAACTTTTACATTTCAAGAAAAAAAGCAATTGAAAAAAAATTCCATTCAATTCTCGAGAGGAAACTCAAAGTAGCTTCAAGTTTTGATTTCACGGAGTTTTAAAACATCGCGTTTGTTTAAGAGTAAAGATACTTTAATGTAACATGCTGACTCGTGCGGCGATCGATGTCAATCTCACCATGCACTCTTTGAAAAAAGTTAGCCAGATTTTCTGGGAAAAAATACTCATATAGTCAGCTGCACGGATTACATTAAAATTATACAGTCCTTTTTTTTTAGAGTGCCTGTTAGAACGTCATCAAATGTTCAACCCGTGAAAGTTAGCTCGAAAGTTGATGCGGATTTCACGATAAGAAGTATAAATTGTTTTGTTTAAATCGTAGCGGGGAAAAAATAACAACCAAACCAAACAGCACACTTGCTTTAAATGAAATACCTTGACTTTTTGAAAACGGAAAAGTCTTTATCAGCTTATTTTGAGTCAGGAAAAGTGTACTTTTGAAATGTTATGAACTTGGAATAACAAATCTAGCGTGCTGTCTTAAAATGTACAGCCAGCGAACAACCTTTTTTTTTTTAAGTCGTGTTGGCAAAGTAAATTCAATTTGTCCGTCCATGAAAGCAGAACTGCAGTGCTGCGCCGCATGCGGTCCACGCACACCCCAAACATCCATGTTTGTTCGTTCTTTGGAATATCATGAAGTTTGGAGAAAAAAAGGGAAAAGGCTTTTTAATCGTAGACGCTATTGTCGTGGTTTGTTGATGTTGCAGGGGTCAATGTCCAAGCCTGTTGACAGCTGTAAATATTTTCGAAATAAATTGGGGAACATTTTTCAGTTGCTGGCGGTGATTTGAAGTGTTTGGTGAACATTCGCTAGCACAGAATACAAAAAGTAGCCTACAAGCATGTGCTGTTGTATTAATGTTTGTAAGTGATACTTCTCAAGCATGAGAAAAGACATTCAAAATGCTAATTGTTTCACTTTCAGCACTCACATTACAGGCGTTCGTTTAGCAATCTGTGGTTTATTAAACATGCTCGAGAAGTTGGATAGATTCCGAGGAGAAAGTGAAAATACAAGTTTGCATATTGATTTTCGGAGATTGGGTCCCAAGCACACGATAACAGCTCAATCTTCAACAATCTCCAGTATTCAATCTTATGTTTAGCAAACATTGCAGCATTTTCAAAGTTGAGATGTCTTATTGATTACGTTTAATAAGGTATTTTTTTCTGCTCAATGACATATCTGAAAATACCTTTCCCCACCAAAACCATTTGTAAAAGAAAGTGCTGCCAACCCCCATATTATAAATCCTACAGGGTGGTGCAATAAAGGAAACCCAATTTTGACAGGAATTTAACCTATTTACTTAACTTATTTGAACTTATTTTGTATAATGTAGTGAAGTATAGCTCTTCAACCGTACTAATTTGAATACAAGTCACCAAAATCACTGTTGTCCACGAGTAAAGTCTAGTGCAGTGTTTTTTGTCTTCAAATCAAGCTCCGGAGCTCAGTCAAGCGGATGGAATGTATAGCCGTCCGTGGACAAACAGGTTTGGCACATGATATTTTTAAAGTACCATATTATCTCAGACAAAATATGCAGTTGCAATCATTTTTTTGATCACTTATGTTTAAAGATCAATATTTTAAAACCATTTTATTGAATTTTTGAAATTATGCTCAACAAGTTGAAAATTGCTGTCAAAAGTGGGTTTCCTTCTTTTTGCACCACTCTGTATAACACTCGGGGTATAGGCCTACATGTTTTTTTGGTTCATATACATGTACAACTGCATGTAACAACAAATACAAAAATCCACTGCTTTACAATAGTTGTTATTTTTTAGGTATATTTTTTCGCTCTGCGCGACTGCCGATTCGTAGGAGGCGCAACGAAACAGGAAGAAGAATGCATTCCCCAAAATGTCGATCTTCAGTTCATTACCGATGCATGTCGTCACGGATTACCGAACAGTAAGTAAACAATTTCGACTGTTTGTTGACGGTCAAAAGGTAGAAATTTAAGAAACTCTGAAAACATCTATTTCTGGCATTTTCATGGACAAGGGGCGCGGCCAGCTAAATATGAATTGGAGGAGGAAAAGATAAAACCAATAGATGGGTGTCATTAACAGGCAACCGCTTCTGTTTAAAAAAAAACATGCGTATCTACTCTGAGGCTGTTGGTTGCTCAGTTTTCATACTTGGAAATTGAAGTGAGCACCAGTTCACAAAAGAGTGGTCCCCAAAAAAGTTGTCATTTTTTCAGAGGCAGATTTCTCAAAATTAGGGAGACATATTAAAATTGTTTTACGATATTCCTAAACTACAAGATCTTGTTGGTGTATGGTGAAAACGGCGTTGAAAATCAAGCACAAGTTCAGAAATAGCGAGGTTTTACAGAAAAATTGTCAAAAACTCGTTTGTTCACACATAAAATGGCATTCATAATTCAATATTGCAGTTCTTCATCTTAAAAGGTAACATGGATGACTGACTTAATTTTTAATTGCGGTATAGGCCTATGTCTATTATGAACTTAGATTTGGTTTCGATACATGACAAAACTTCGCCATGTAGGTTGTTCGATAATGAATAATACAATGTATTTTATATACCCTGCATTATTCACCGAAAGCAGCATACGACGGTCAGTGTTTTATTACTACCAGCAGAAATGGTTTGAACCGTATACTTAACCTCTTTGAGCTATATATATATATTTATACTGATTTATATCTGAGCGAGGTCACAATGCTAAACGTTCAAACAAAATAAATTTCAACTTGTCAAATCCTCTTTGGTCCGGGATTAGATTTGATTTGACTTAGGGCCCTGTGTTGGCTGATTAAATATAATTTAATCGAAGACAAACACATAACGATTATATAAAAGGTTTAATAAAAGAACAACTATTGCTCTAGCACTAGCCGTGAAATTATCTGCAAATAGTGAACAGTGTCAGACGGGTTTTGTTTGACTAGTGCATTCGGCTTTTCAAGTCTGTCGGTTCAAGTATTTATTCTGTGTAACAATTTTCTGAGTGTTATGTAATCTGGGCGGATTGTATGGATCCACAAGTATAGTAGGACAATAAAATGCTCTTTTTCCAGACCCCCCCCCCTAAAAATAATTGGCAAATAGGGCCTAATTATATTTTGAGGGTAAGATTTCAGGATTTCAAACACACTTTAACACATTTTTTTGGAATGTTTAACCTTAACTTTTGGATCAATGTTTTTGGGCGGCATATTTCGGAGGTTGATGCTTGCATGAATTTATTGAATTGAAAGAAAAGTACAGTACTCGATCACTCTCTATTTACTGTCATTTATTTAAAATTAGTATAATTTTCGAGATTAAGACATCACACGGCGCAGGTTCCATATAGTCCTAGACTTTGGGACTCTCAATACTGCGTATGCATCAATCAACTGTGCCAAAAGAAACAGCTGGCATGTCTGGCACTGGTCTCTATTTCTACACGTTTCTCAATTGTCAGCCACCAGACTAATTAAAAGGTTGGAAGTCTATGGCCTCAAATTGAAATCACTTGACTCTCAGGTGCAAAATATTGAAGCTAATTAAGTCACCTTCAAAATTTGACTTGAGACTTCAAACTAGGTTGGTGAAATACGGAAGATTTTGTCTTTGCCTCATGGAAATTTTAGAGAATTTTGTCTGCCAAAGAGTGAGTAAAGTTGGCCTGATTTGGTTTTCCATGTTTTTCAGCACTTTAAGGTCCAGTCTGGGTTTGATAGATTGCCGCATGTGCAGCAGCCCCAACAAAAAAGTTCTTATTTCTATTTTTTAGATTAGGTTTGAAAAATTATTGCTAAATCCAGGGAAAGCAAATCAAATAGGCCTATATAGTAAAAAATAAAATCGTGCATGTAATTTTATGTCCTACCGAATACAAAACACGCATACCGTACGTACCTTTAATTTTGACCGTCAAAAAAATCAGTACCCACTGAGTAGATCAGACTGTGCAGCATCCGTCAACCACTCTGACAGCAGCACGTATAGAAACCTCGTCCCAATTTGTGAAATATTCCACTAGATCCTCAGTCTTGACGTCGTGGACTTGTTGGCTATGTAATGTCCTCCGTAATTCGAAGAAATATACTCATAAACGCACTCCAAAAACCCAGACTATTATTCCTTCACAGGCCGCTGGCACAGCAGCTGTAGCACACCGCGTCCACTACACATGCGATTCAAACCCGCCTGGCTTTTGACTGCAAAACGCGGCGTCACCCGACTGTTTTTAGCCGCTCGATTACTCATGGGCCATCGGGGATTCGTACTTTGTTCCCCGGACTATTATTTTGTAATCACATACAAGGCCGATGTTGTTAGGTTTCATTGTCCGACTGAAATGCGTCATTTTGTAAACTCTAAATCATCAGTTCTCCCTAATGAACCCTGCGGTTTCAGTAGGGCCTGCAACTCATACGTCTGACATTTCTTTTCTTTTTCAACTTAATTTCAGCACTGGATTGTAATTGTTGCAGTAGCAGAGAGAAACAGAACAGTTTTATTGACAAGCCCTTTAGCGCTTTTGAATTTGCAAATATCGATTGCGACCTTTAATAACAATCGGTCCGGTTCTGCACAGCTGTCTGGTGCGAACCCCCTAGCTAGTACAACAAAAGCACTCCCGATTGCCAAAATGATTATCCTTTAATATCCATTCAACAAGCCTGTAATAAAAATACACCCGTCTGGGTGTTTATATCAACTGCTTGTTACAAAGTCAAGGATGATTCAGTGGGGGCGTCGAAAACATTTCCACCTGAGTAACCCCGTTCAAAATACCGGGATCAGTGGTGTAAATCCATTCCTGAAAATCGACCAACTGTACGGTGAGAATTGGTTTTTTTCCCACGGTGTTTGTGTACACAATCAGCATGTGTGTGTACTACTGTGTCGACATTGTAGAGTTTTTTTTATTTGCTTAATTCCACTTAGGCCTTTCCCGAGGATCGATGCGATTGAATAAAATCAATATTTTTTACGCAAGAGGGCGCTGTCGACGAGGCGCATCTTTGCCTGATTTCATGAAATTCACATTCATGTATTTTTAAAAATTATTTCTTTTATTAATACCCGGATTGGTAATTGACTAACACACTGTTCATCCATGATAAATCAAACTAATTTAAACTCCGCATTTTTTTCCCGCTTTGATTTGACCATTTTTAATAGTAATTTCTTTCATGTAGTTTGCTGCTACATTGATCTCAACTTCTTACTTTAAAATTTTTTTTACAGATTTTAAATCAGAAACTTATACATAAGACACAATGCATCATGACGCACAGATAGGGTCAATTGATGTGCGGTTTTTCTCCAGACAGAACAGGAAACCCCAAAATAGACATGACGCACGTTTCGCCGAAAAATCACATAGTTTTTTTTGGTGATCACAGAGGGCGCCATAACAATTTCCCCACTTCTCTTCGCTTGAAAGATTTAGGTGCGCACTGCAGGTTACGCACTCAAAGAAAACAACACAAAATCGGACAGAGACAGCGCCGCCTGGTGACGCTCAAGAGCAAGGCGGCGAGGTTTTTTTCGCTTGAAATTAAAGATTTCGACCCCCTGGACAATTTTCTTTTCAATTTTATTAGTGGTAACCGGCTCAATTTGTGTTATTCCCCTTCCCCAAAACGCCCCTAAAATGGTTGCCAATCTCTAGGCCAAGGTCTAAATGTAGCCCCCCCCCCACCCCCCCCCCACCCCACGGGAAATAGTTAAGATTTTTTTGTGGACGAAATCGCCCAAGTTGGTAGCCACAAGTTATAAATGCTTGATCTCCTGAAAATGTTTTACAAAATGCCCCAAGTGTAGGCCGCAAGGACCTCTTATTCAAAATTACCTGTGGGATCACAAAATACAGGGTGTTTCAATAAAAAGGAAACCCAACTTTGAAGAACCAGTATAGACAGACTAAATGTTTACTGGCTATAAAACTGTTATCATCTGAAAGCGTAATCTCTATGCTTTTCAATGATACCTTGTTTACATTTCCAGGGTCATGCATCACTGAGCGCCACTGTCATGAGATTTTGATGCAAAATTGCAGTTGGTTCACTTTCATGTCAAACACAATAGGCATGGTGTGCATGAGAATAAGTATTCAAGAAGAAGACACGAGTGCATAAAAAGAACCCCCCCCCCCAAAAAAAAAGTCGGGTTGGTTTCAAAACTGGATTTTATTGTTCGTCATGAATTTCTCGTTTTGACCGAGCCACGTTCAAAAAAATGTGCCATTTTCCCGAGGATTAACATTCAAGCCATTTCACAGACATTTCCGTAGTGTTTTTTTTTTGATGAAAGTGAACCAACTGCATTTTTGCATCCAGTTTTCAAGACAATGATGATCACTGATGCATGACTCAGAAAACGTAAACATAGTATAATTGAAAAGCACAGAAATTACGCTTTCAGTAAACATATCGTCTGTCCATACTCATTCTTTGAAGTTGGGTTTCCTTTTCTTTTTTTTAATATTAATGAGCAGTCGCGCGCATTAATTTGGGTTTTGGAAGTGTGCACTCTGCAATCGTCAGTACAATCACTGATCTACACATTTCTGGAAAGCCCATTGCCTGTTAGAAGTGAAGTAACTGTCGCCATATCACTACTCCATGAACAATATATTGTGTAGAAAGATTTATTGACGTACACTTTTAACTTGACGAATTTTTTTTTTCAAGAAACTAAAATGGCAACAAAATAGATTCAGTATATTTAACTTCTATTTAGAAAATATTGATTATACGTTAGATGACGCTATCCTAAAGGGCCCATGCAATGTATTTTTTAATGCAATCCTTGAAAACGCACCTTTGTGTCCCCTTTATCCCTATTCTTAACTGTTTGTTTGCCATTTTTCAAGGGTATTTTGGTGCCTTTTTGGTTTTTATGCTAATGCGAATTTTCATAATCCTGAGCAAAACTGTGATGTCATTTCAGGCAGAAACATCAATGTTACAACTAGTTTCATCACCAAAAGTTGCCAGAAGTTTGGATATTTCGATGTCCCAAATTTTCTTTTTTTTTTAGTGATTCGTTGTTGTGTCAGTACGTGGCAATAAGCCAATAAGCAGACTTCTCTCACAAATGTTTTCAATGAACAAATATTTGGGTTCACAGTTTGAACAGAAAACCCCTAAACTGAACAGTGTCTTCCTGAAATGACATCACAGCAACAGCGCCCTCAGTTGTCCGGAAAAGTTTTAAAGAAGTGCACTTTTCAGTAAAAAAAATAACAAAAAAGGGATGTTACACAGGTTTCATACATTGAAAAGGATTAACAAAGTTGCGCAAAATATGTTCCTGAAATATTCAATTCACGGGCCCTTAAAATTTGTTTTGAATAATTTGAGTGGTTGAGACTGGTTCCCTCCCTACTTTCGAATGGAGGGAGCGGGAACCAGTGCGTATCTTCACTTTTGTTGTACAGCTCGGAATGGCAAACGAACTATCCCGAACTTGTTACATGGAGAAATGATGGAGATCAGTGGGTACAATTCTGGACTGGATACCTAACCTCATATCACATTGTACGTGTCTACATCACTGACCTGGCTGACCATGCCTACGCAATGAAGCCACCGCCGCCATCTTGGCTCACCCACGACGCAAGCGCAGTAAAAGCACGATTGTTTTTTTTAAAGAGTAGTAGACCTAGTTGGTATTGGCGATTTTCTTCTTCAGAGTTATAAGGCGGCGCGAAAATATGAATTGTTAGTATCATAAAAACCTCAACAGCAGATCAATACATGTACATGCATCCTAGGTCAAGGTTGATATTTTGGTGTAACAAGATGGCGGATTGGTGGCATCAAGGTGCATATGCAGCATAAGCATATAGCAGCCATGCAGTCCAGGTAGGTCTACATCCATCATCCGCTACGATATTGATGCTGTGGTCATCCATGTACTTGGACTCGGAAAATGTCATGTTTTTAGTACGAAATTTGTTGTTTTTAATGATACAAATGAATATAACTGTCCTACTCTATTGTAATACCTATAGTCTACAATAGTAATGATAAACGCAATTTAACTACCGCATATTTTGGACGGAACGATAAGGCTGAATTAATAATCGGCAAGAAAATGGCGGCATTTTCTCCCGAACCCCCGTGCATGCACCACCAAATAAACACGAATTGCTTTCTTATTTTTAGAAGTTTGTCATATGGCAAGCCTTGTCAGCCTTTACGAAACCAATTTTCAAAACCGCCCTCTTTTAGCTTCATGTCCTCAACTTCTGCATAGTCAGATTAAACCTGGTCATTGAACGTTTAAAAAAATGAACACCATTTTTTTGACACGGGAGGGCAGTGTAACAAAATGGCTTGCCAGTCCAAACCCAGTCAACCTCTTTTAAAGTTCAGAGTTACAGCTGTCTACAAAATGTACGTTGACTATTACAGTGTTTCCGTGATATCGATATGTGGCTTTTCATATTGTTAAGACAAATTTACATGGGTTTTCTCGGGCTTATTCATGCCTGAGTGTCTCATCTTTGCTTTTGCTAACATTAGAGAAAACTGTACTTGCATTCCATTCGGCACTGACACGATGTCACAGTTTTCAAACATTCGTAATAACGTCAGCTACAGAAATAGCGACAGATTTTACACTATTAAGAAGTCTTAAAAATCGGAGGTCTTTTTGTTTATAATCGCACATGAGACCGGCTGTATTTCAAGGCAACTTGGGCAGTTTGTGAGACTGGTTCCGGTGTCTCAGTCGAGATTCCTTCAATTCCTTCAGGACGTCCAAATCAATACGCAGCGGGGGCAGCGAGACGCTGCCCGTAGCTGCCGAGTCGGTGGCCAGTCTCTGCTGCCGTCGTTTTCTCGCGAGAGCGCGTGCGTTCTCGCGGGCTCTCGCTCGACTCCTCTCGGGTTCTTCCCCGACGCTGGGCAGGATTGAGCCCTTCCTGGTAGCCTGCAGCCTGGTAACCGCTTCCTGCTGCTTGATGCTCCCTAGGGAGTCGTCCGAGTCCGCAGTCCGTCTGCCCTGAATGTCCTCCCGTGTCTTGACCTTCAGCTCGGCAACCCTCTTCTTGGCGTGCCTCTCCCTCTGGAGGGCGCTGTTGCTGATCTCCGGCTCCCCTCCTCGGTGATTGGCGGTCCTGCTGAGTTTCTGCTGCATGAGTGCCAGGTATCTCTGCTTCTTGCTCTTGGTGGTGGCTCTAAGCGGCGGCAGTTCGCGAACGGGCATTTCCACCGCGACGACGGTGTTTTCCGGTACGTCTTTGAGCTGCACTGGTGTTTCCGAATTCGACACTGGGTTAATGCGATTGTGGGATTCTGTTGGATGTGTTTTCGGTTGTTCCAAATCTGCAGGCAATGTGACGGGAAAGTTACGATCCTGATTGCCATGTAGCAAATCTGAATTGTTTGGCTTGGATATATTCGCTTGGCTCATTTTAGCGTGCACTTCGTTCAGGCGGTCATCCATGTCGTTAATCGGCATGGTGTCGGTTTGTTCGCTTGGCTGGTGGCTGGTTTCAGTTACAGGATCATGTTTCTTGTGTGGTTGACCAGGAGTATGAGTTTCGGCAACAGAGGGCGCCTGCGAGGTAACGAGCCGACTGGGATTGGTATCGAGTCTCGACTCGATGCTGCGCAGCTCGTCGTGCACATGCGCCGCAAGGAGCTGCGAGTTGGGCGCCTGCAGCCGCCGGGAGAGCCCCGAGAGTTCCTGCTCCTTCCGCCGGATGCGTTCTAGCTCCAGCGCGAACACGGGCGAGTTGGTGCCGTTCTTCAGCCGGCGCTCGAAGTCGCCGACGTTGGACCGGATCTTGCGCTTGTTGCTGGCGATGTTGATGAGCGTGACGCGCATGTGGTCCTTCCTGCGCAGAATCCGGCCGATGTTGGCGCGCTCGTTGGACGCGATCTGCCGCTGGAGGCGCTCCAGCCGGGCGTCCTCGAAGCGGTTGACGAGCAGTAGGCGTTCCCTCAGGCGGGTCTCGTGGGCGTCGAGGCTGTAGGACTTCTCGCCGGGGGTCTGGAAAGCCCGGGGTTTGCGGTTGATGGCCTTCACCATAGCGCCCCCAACGTTTGCCGTCTGGACACTGTCCTGGATCATGGCGTGGTGGGGTCAGAGTTCAAACGTAGTTGCCTCATTTGCATGAAGCCGATTTCTGAAACAAAAAGAAAATAATGACTTTTACTTCTCGAATTTTACTCCTTGATCAACGTTTTGCCACGGTACCCATCGATCTGTGTTTCATTCACTGAGACATTCAAAGCCTCGGTTTACCATGTACGCAACTTTCTTTTTCGTTACAGTCACATTTTACACATACTGCACATTTTACATGATGACGGGTGACACAGCCGGGTGGTATTTATTGTCTCAACGGCGCCCCATACACACTTTGCGTCACTCATTATACTACAACCTCCAATTGGCCGGGGTCCCGACCCCGAGTCACAATCGTTTATTTCTCTCTAATAGCACGTCCAGATTCCCGACGACAATCAAATTAAAGGGTTTTTTTTCTGTAAAAGTGGACCAAAGTAATTTAAAAGTCCCAATATTCTCCACCAGATTCCCGACGACGATCAAATTAAAGGTTTTTTTTCTGTAAAAATGGACTAAAGCAATTTAAAAGTCCGAATATTCTCCATTGATCAACACACAACCTCCTGGGGTATGTTTGCCAAATCTTGTGGCAAGATGGGGTTGCGTACAACACACCTCCAGGCGGAACCGTACGTATTATGACAGGACTACTTTTAAACTTATGGAACTCAAAGATAATTTCATCACTCGAGAAAAGTTTCTATATGACCTCACCTAGCCTGCTATGATCGAGCTGAAAGTAACGTCGTCTTCTGAAGTTAGTTCAGAAGTCGATCAGAACTAAATTGAACACAGAAAAATACGCAGTGTAATTTCCAGAGGAGTCTATAATAAATATCATTCCCGGCCTCATGCACTTGCACTTTAAACTGTGAGACTTTACGCTCAGGTGAGTTGCACATGTGCACAGACATTTTCAGCACGGAAGATCTGTGTCGATTTGTACAGAGCAAACATGTGACAGTGGAAAAACTAGCCCAGGGACAGTCTCAGCACGTCCAGTGTATGCCAGGCCGTTGCCTCTTCCCCGAAGCTCGCTGACGCAACTCCGGGGGGTAGAAGCCAACTACCTGAAGAATGCTAACAATTTTCTGGAGACGTTTCTAACCTTGAGGGGCAAAGGTTACATCACTTCAGATAAATCACCCCAGACGCAGCCTCGTCCCCAGTGCTTAGTTTATTTCCAACCGCGTTTCCAATAGTTAGCCCTGGATAGGAAACTTTCTTCATGTATCCTGATTCGATACCGCAATTGGCTAGAAATGGATTTTTATCGTGTACTTGGTGTACATGTACTTGGTCGACCCCGGTCAATTTTTTTTAATTACAGATTTGAAAAGAGCACAATCTCAGCATTACTGCTGTGAAAACCGCATGCTGATTCTATCTTTAGTTAAAAAATTATGGAAGTCGGAACACCAAGAGATGTGATGAAGTGATGTGATGAAGTGGCCTTATTTTGGCCTGTATCTCCAAATGAAAATCTCCGACAAACGACTCATGTAGCTGGATCGCATCACATTTGTTGATATTAATATGAAATGTCATACTGCATGTTGTTTCGATAAGATCGTAACAGTTTAATTATATAAATCGTGTTTTCGTAACTCACGCCGTGCTCGTGCTGCGACGAATTGACTCTGTTTTTACCCAAGACACAGCATACAAAAACAAGCGCTATAATGTAACGCACATGCAGGCACCAGACCATTCCTCATTTGTATACGTGTTCAAAAATCTTGCACATGCAAATGATCCAATACCAGGGTGAGAGAGCAGGTAGTGATGGGCGCGTACTGCTCGACACCCTGGGGACGAAGTTGCCCCAGACGTACGTGCACGGTGCGAAGCGCCAACAAATCTATAAATTATTATGACAATTTGTCGACCAACGTGCACATGTACTACATATTGTGCCAATTCACTGCGGTTTTGTCAAAAACTGGGTGTGCTGGCTCGAATTTCGTCTTTTAAAGGTATCTCAGATTCTCAGGATAAGAGAGTTGTTCGTTACCAGCGCACTGAGGCCCGTCATTGCACACTTGAGCAAATGACTGTATACAAAACAGCATAAAAACCAACAAAGCAATACAATGACGAACGGCCGTAGAACTGCTAATAACTAATAAAATCAGATTTCTGCCCCCTAAATCCTTAATCAAAACATGGAGCAAAGATAATGAGTATCTGAAAATAATTATAGAACATATTCCATTGAAACCACCGTCATGACCGTCGTACAACGCCAAATGAAGGGACAAAAGTGGGAAAAACGATTTGATTTGGGACGCTTTAATGCAATCAATTGCATGCAGACAAAGGATGGACTTTGGAGGAATAAGAAGGAAGTCGCACTGTTTCAGACACAATTTTACAAAAGACTGATAAAACCTTTGAAATCTTAAGACTCGGACATGTCAGAGACCAATGGAAATCAAATCCCAATAATCTTATAAAACCAGTCATCTTTCATGCCTGTCTTACGCAAATATTGTTGGTCAAATGATGCTGATGTGGGAAACCATTGATAGATCATTTCCAAGAGGACATCATATTGAAATACATTTGGTTTCTTATTAATTGCTAGTAGTGGCGTACATCCTACATCCACCCGATTTGCGGTAGTCTCCCAATGGCATTAACAAAGCGCTTTCACTTACCGATCCTCGCTTTCCTTAAGACTGTCATCTTTGGGGGTTTTCTGTCAATATGATTGAAGTAAATCAGACAAAGCCTCACAAACGTAGAATCCTAGTTTGATGTGTAATTTGTACCGAACTACAGGCAGAAAGAGCATCTAAATTCCAGCGCGAAAAACAGGGCTTGGCTTGCAACTGGACCTTCCAACATGCCGGATGTTGCAAGACGCGTGTACGTGTGTCTATGCAGAAGACAGTATGGCATGCCTAAGGGGTCAAAATAATGACCCTATCTTTTATGGGGAAGCAAGGACAGGGTTGTTGTTATTCGTCACGCTCCCTCCGCTTCGCAATACGGAACGCCCTCTGGCGACGAACGGTAAACAAGTGATGGTTGCTATTCAGTGAGTCAATGCATGTTTTTTAGACAGTTTTCTGAGGTTTGCCGATACCTTGAGCAAATTTACACAAGTTAATCAATGCTCTCGCACGCAAGAGTAGTGTATATTTTTTTGCAGATAACCAAAGCCAGCCACTGACGATTCAGGTACCGATTGGGAGATAATAAAATACTAACAATAAAAAAAAAAAAAAATAATAATAATAATATTAATAATAAAAATTGATTTCCCATGAGGTTCCCTTTGTGAACCACCATCTTTAGAGTCAAAATAATCCAATCCAATGGATTATCATGTACGATGTTTTCCCCACTATTTCAGTCAACAGAGGTCGCTCTGATTCTCCTCTCCGCGTCACGAGCGTGAGTGGCATGCAGGATGTTTACCCTGTCTACTGTCGCAGGGTCACACGAGGTCAAGTCTATGATCTCGAGAGCTGTTACAATATTAGCACATAACAGTCTCGCTCAGCTCAGCGTGCGTGGGCAATGTAATCATTGACATTGGATACGTTTACATTGGCAACTGATGAAATCCAATCATGTCTGGTTGACGGTTAGTCTCAGTTCCAGCCGACCTCTGTGTGCACAGTTAACATCACGATGATAAGAGTAATCAGCACAGTATATTCGTTGGGGTGCAGTTAAACCAAGTTGGACTTGAACTGAGTTTACACGGAGTCAATCATGTCGACTTGAACTGAGTTCAGTGCTCAGAGTCGGCCATTATTGTTTACAATTTCATTCAACCGAGAGATAAAAAGTTCTTGCCATGTTTAGGTTAGTTGCCTAGCGGGCATGGTCGATTTGGATTTTCAATTAAAGGGGCACTATAGGTCCTGAAATCCCTGAAAATTTCATGTTTTGGATTGATTACTTATCCTATTTCAAACATGTGGTTGAAAGGAAACCAACCTAATGTCTTACCGTTCCCGAGAAAAGAGGAAAAATCCCCATGTTGCTTACATCGGACACGACGGAGTACGAATACCTTTTTCGTGTCGTTCTCATACAGTGTACGATATACACATTGTGTGTCTCGGGAACAGGGGTGACAAATCACCAATGCAAAAAAAAAAATGTGGTTTCTTCAACGTCCGCAAAAGGCACTTTACGAACACTTTACGAATGAAATCAAAACTATATCATCAAAACAGGTCGAATTTATGGGGTCGCAAAAGTGGACCCCGAAATTCGTTCTCGCACGCATAATAGGCTACAGAAATAACACAAAAACGCCCAGTTTTTAAAGGAAAGTTGTGTGGATGATTGTATCCTAGTTTCAAATGTTCTTTCCGAATAACATAATCTCGTTCAAAGCGCGTTTTGTAGCCCAATTGGGCTGTTCCAGGACCTAGTGTCCATTTAATGCAGCTGCGAAGAACTGCACATAACTAATACCATAATAAGGCTTTGCAACCAACGCAACATAAATGTAATGTGTATCTTGAATGAACTTTCAATTTCTCGCCTAAAAACACGATTAACTCTGAAGGTTACATGAAAACGCATTGTCTGTAGTCAAAGTTTTGTGCAGCCTGTTACCCCAGTTAGGACGTGTTTTCACATCGGAGTGTGGGATCATGGGTGCAGTATAGCAGTGCACGTTGCAACTGAGTGTTTCCAAGATATAGGCTGTTTGGACGCCGGCCGCAGTTCATGATGTTCTCATTTGCACAATATTTTGTTTAATCAAAGAAAACAAGCCATAGTGAAGAAACGGGCGCTGCTTTACTCTCTTACGTCTAGTCCCCCACCCCGAAATTTCCCCAGCATTATCTACAGGTTTACCTCTGGCTATACAGAGTACTTTTGATTTAATAACAAGGTGTGAAGGTGCTCGCTGCAACCCTAAGGGAGCTAAAATCTCGTGAGCCGAATCGGAGATGGAGCCGACGATGGAGCGATGTACAATAAGCTCTGGCCGTCTTGCACGAAAGTCTTGCATGAAATCTATTAAAATGATCCCTGCGCCAGAGCTTAAAAATGCGACGCCCAAAACTGCGACGCCGATGGCACATATGGAACAACATACTTTAGATTAACACCCAGATTTATAGGGATTTGTGATACTATATCAACACTGCACATATTTTGACATGTATAGAAGTTCCTGCCCGAGCTTAAAAAACTTAGCCCTTTCCCTTTCCACGAGCATTACACCTGGTTAAAATGAGTTTTTGGATTAATTTTCGTTAGTTCGCTTATCTGTATAAGTACAATCTTTACTTAGCATCAGTCGATTGAAAATCGATTTGCGCAAGGAGTTTCCTTTGAATTGTGAAAAAAAATTATCTCAACTTTGAAAGTCATCGGAATGAAAAACAGTGACAGCAGAATGCTTTTGTAGGAATAATCATTTGGAATCAGATTAATTACATTCGATCAAAGTTCAGTTTTGTTGTCGGTGATTGTGCCGGGCGCTCATTATGCTTGTAGATAAGCGTTGTTTGCGTTGTCAGGCGCACGCCTCTGATAGCAAATTTCTAGGATTGTGTGCGATGCTTGATAATATCATTAGGTTATTAATGACCGTGGCTAAAGAGGAGGTGCGGATATCTTGCGTTTAATAGACGGTATGTTTTTAAGGACTGAGAAAATTTGTTTTGGACAGACATCATTATATAGCTTCCTACCCCATCCAGCTCGTTTCTATGACGTTTCATATACGCACTATTAACAGGTTGTGCGTGGAATTTATGCAAAGGCAGTGGTCAATCTTTGCGATTCTCCCCACCTACTTCTGTGGATTTTCTTGAAAACAAAAATCAGTCCAGTGTTTCTCTTTATAACGTAAACTAGGTAAGAGCGCACAAAATGCCCATTCAATGTCTTGACGGGATAGTGTTATACGACATCACTGCCCGACTATCTTAACCAGGCTAATGAGACTAGTCGAAAGTGACAGTCGGTCAGTGATTAGGGCCTAACCGATTTTGCAAGTGGCTTAAATGGTGCGGCCTGTAAATAGACTCAAATTGCCTACGCCGGCCAAATCAGGATTTGCATGCCCTCAAATTCTCAGGTATTAGAGCATTTTGAGGGCCGTGAACTTGAGGATTTGTATAAAAAAAAATGTTGGAAGCCGTGCAGAGGACTGCGAGCTCGTATAAATGTAGAATTTTGATGAAATTAGGCCCCAAAATGGCTTTATTTTGCAAAGGAGCGTAGGCGTCCGTTTTTAAAATGGCGATGGGCATCAGGACTGCTTTTAGGGGTGATCATCTTTGGATGGAATTTTCTCCCAAAAGTCATTGGTTAACTCTAAAAAAAAAAATTAACGGAAAATGAAAGATGGTGGAATAATCTTTAATTTGATGTGTGTCTCAACCACCGAGTGGAGAGTTGTGAGTATTTTGAACAATTTTGGGAAGTGTGCGTAATTACCACTGAGGTATATGGCAGTCTATTTACTGCTCTGGAACCTCACCGGGATCAGAAAAAAATTGGGAAAAGCCGGAACATTTCTTCACTGTTTTCTCTCTTGAAATTCCATCATGCATCTGGGATAATCTGCCATAATTATGCAGTGCGCTTTTGAGAATGTGTTTTATCACAACCAAAAAAAAAATTATGCACAGGCCCCTATTGATATATTTCACTGTCGGAAGTAAGTTTCATATCCACGATCAGATATATAAGTGTTTCTATAATTCCTTTAAGATATGCCTCCATTGTTGGAATGCATAAAGCATTATGTGAACTTCAAAGACAAGTGATGTGGAAGTTTACTTTTTAAAAGAGCAATTTTGGAAAACCGTTTCCAGTGTAATTTTTGTGTAGATATTTCGTCATTCATTATTTAAAACAATGTTGGCAGGAGTACAGACCACAGAGTAGCTTGGGATCCAGGAAGAATCCTTCTTAAACATTTCGAAAACATAAAATCACTTGTAACTTTGCGTGAAAATGATATGGTACTGCACAATGATAGCCTCATGTCGGTGTAATTGTTTAATTGTAAGCGCACTGTTTCGTAAACTTAGGTGACACGTACACCTGTTTATTTTTGTACCTTAAATTGAAAGTAAGGCGGGACCCGAAAGATATATGTTTGCACATCGTCAGTTGGATCCGGAGCTATGAAGCTGATATTACTAATGTATCGATTTGCAACTTCGAAATGTGTTGGATGTTTGGCGAATAAACTCCACAGTGTTTGCCAGTGCGATCGACCGATCTTGGTGGGGAGACACGAAAAGAATCACCCATTAGTTGGCGGTGTTTGCTCCGCTTCAACACGTTCCCGTCTTTGTTGGTCTTGTGGAGAAATTAATTAAGAAGAGAGCTCTGGGTGGGAGGTTTTTGTTTGTTCAAAGCCTGGTCGCAATCAATGATTTTCAATCATTATAACATTCCTTCAAATTACATCGGAATGCCTGGTTTATTAAGGTGAAGATAGTGAGCTACTAAAGTGGAAGAAAATGAAAATTGGCTAGAAATTCAATAAATCAAAAGAAAAAATATGAAGCATTTAAGTAAACCTCTGAATCTGCCGTTGTAAGTTGCAACACCATGGACCGGTTAGTAAGTCAATTTACAATTCAACCGACCATCCAAACCGAAAGCGTAAACCACCACAGACCGTTGAAAGCTAACTAACCGACAAACAGACAGACCTGTATCTGTCAAACAGAGAAGACTAACTGACAACTCCGACCGACCAACAGAAAGACCAACGATGTGAATGAACACCAACAGAAAACCAACGACTACCAAACAACCAACCGACTGCCAACCAACCGACAGACTAAACGATCAACTGGTACCGGCCAAACAGATAGACTAGCTGACAATTATCCGGACCGACCAACCGACAACCAAGACACACAACCGAAAGCCAAGCAACCTACTGTCAATCAACAAACCGACTACCAAACAACCGACCGACAAAACGACCAACCAGTACCGACCAAACTGATTGACCAACCAACTGACCGACCACTTAACCGACAACCAACCAACCGACAACTAACCGACCGTACAAACAAAGGAACAGACAAACTTACTCGTGCCGATTAATGCTCAATATCCGACCACAAAAATAGTGAGGGGTGCAAATCGACTCCATAGACCTCCGTCATAATTACGCGTACTTCCAAAATTTATTACAAATACTCACAACTCTCCAAGGTTTTTGAGACACCCATGTCATCAAAATAAAACTTATTATTTCATCATCTTTCATTTTCTGTTCAATTTTTGGGTAGAGTAATCTGATGACTTTAGTAGAAAATTCCATCCAATGATGATCACCCCTAAAAGTAGTCCTGTGGCCCATCGCCATTTTGGTAAAATGACGTCTGCGCTCCATTGCAAATAGGGGCCCAATTTCATCCGAATTTCACAGAAATACGAGCTCACACTCCTGTGCACTGCTTCCACTTATCTTTTTTAAACTAACTTTCAAGTTCATGGTCCACAAAATGCTCTAATAGCAAAGAAATTGAGGGCATACAAATCGTGATTTGGCCAACGTAGGCAATTCTGGGCCTATTTACTGAACCCAATCGGCCATCATAAGTCACAAAGTCAGTTTTTAAATGAATAGCACTTCGTAATTTCTCCGCAGAAACATGTCAATGTCAAAACCAGCACCGACCCTCGCACTGATTTCTCTTCCGGTGTTTTTTTAATTTTGGTTAAGCTGGTACTTTTTGAGTTTGTAAACGAATGTCTGATCATGTTGCCATGAGCCATGGGTATGGGCATGGTATGGGTATCGTTCGGTGGCCCAACCTTCAAAATAGCTAGTCATTATTGTCTTTTATCAAAATAATGGAATCATTAATAAATGAAAACTAAGAATCCGTGAAATATTTATAGCATATAGTAAACTGCAACTCACCATAATAATCACGAGGTGAAGGATGATTTAGCTTTTTTAATGTTTCGCTGTCTCTTGATCGTCAGAGGCATCCACACTGCGTGCGATACGACGGCCGACCGGGCAACTAGTGAGCAGCCTGGGCGGTGTCAGACGCGGTGATCCCCCGGTGCTAGGCGACCGGTGCGGACGGTGCTCGGCTTGGGCCGAATCAATGCCGTGCCCTGCGGGTGTTTGAGGTGATGAAATGGTTAATTAATAACCCACAGCGGCTACAACAAAAAAGCGCAGTGATCGCAAAACAGAAAGCACGGCTCTGAAGTGGTGTCAATTGGCAGAAAAAAATCATTAGATGCCTGGAGCAGTCTGTTACATGTCCCAACCGAATAAGTGAACGCTCCAAATCAGTCCAGGAAATTCTACTTAGTTATTGACACTCAGTTTAAATTGGACAGTCTTCAGTCTGTTACTACTGTTCTAGCCGTCTTGATTTCCCGGTTAATAAACTACTATTATAACAGGAAAAGATGTTCGTTTTAAACTAGGTACAATAGTGTTTATGCTGATATCGCGATAACAAATGTCTCCGGAAAATCATCGCAGGCAGAGTTTATAAATTGTCATGGACAACTTAGTGGGTTTTTGCTTGTTTGTTTGTTGGGTTGGTTGTTTGATTGATTGATTGCTTTAAGGTATTTCGAATGGCAAAGGAAATTTAATAACTTAAATAATGTATCCTTTGTCTAAAGCTGCGTGTATTCTTTCTTCTTATTGACAGAAAATAGTTTTAGCGGAAAAAAATAGAAACTGTTGAGCATTTATTTATACTTAGAGTGTTTGCTTAGCAAAAACAAAGAGGGTGGGACTAGAACTTTTCTAGCAGGCTGACATAATGGCGGACACAATAGGAGGGCGCTGTTTGGTTTTACTTTACCCAAATCATTGTTTCTGCCATACCTCATAATATAGGTAAATGGGACAAGCCCAAACTGTATACACTGACAGCCGGGGCAATTTGTTCCAGTCGACTTTATTTTTGCGAAACGCAAACTGTATCATCGATACCTTTTAGGAGAACAAAGAACTTTCCTGAAATCGCTCTAAATCGACCGAAAGAAATCTGTAAAGGCTCAAATATCCAGTTAAAGAAAACATCTGATAGAAACCCACGGCTAACAAGAAGACTAAAATCGATCCGATAAGTCTTTCTGTAGGCCCTATGGCGGTAAGTGTTAAGTATTGATGATGGACAGACTCTGTTGAATGTGCACAGACATTGAAATGAACAATAAGGAACACGATACGATATTGATTTTTTTTGGTAGTTTGTTTGGTGTTGTATGATCTAGAATGCTGTGGTTTGACCGCATTTTTTTCATGCGAAGTGAACTATGTCGCCTACGGTATTAACTGATCATAACATTAATATGACTTCAGTGGGGAAAAAATGATACAAACTCGATGGTAGTCGATCCCAAGAAATCGTCATGATTGGTACAAGGCGAAAACATAGCATTTCCTTTCTTTAATATGTTACGTGAACAATTATACCCAAGAAGATGAACCTCTTCATCCCAACAGGGCAGGTAAACAGGACCCTTGGCCTCTTCTGCGAATTTGCGTCTCGTTACTATGGCCGAGGCAATCGCGAGAGGGCGGTGTAGTAAAGCCTCATTTTTTTGTAATTATTAAGTGCCTTCGAGTGCAGGCGTATAAGGTTGCCGACCAGTAAATTAGCTGCCATAGACCCCAGTGATAAACGCCCCAACTTCAATACTCACAACTCTCCAAGGTGTTCGAGACACACATCAAAATAAAGCTGATTTCATCATCTTTCATTTTCTTTAAATTTTCGGGGGTTAACTGATGACTTTTAGGAGACAGTTTCATCCGAAGATGATCACCCCTTAAAATAGTCCTGAAGCCAATCGCCATTTTGAAAAACGATACCTACACTCCATTGCAAAATAGAGCGCTTTTAGGACCCCAATTTCATCCAATTTGCACGTAACTATATAAGCTCACATTCTATACCCTTTGCACGGCTTGCACCAATTATGTCCATGCCCTCAAATTCTTCGGTATTTGAGCACATTTTGGGCCATGAACTTGATCGAGGGCTTGTAAAACGTGTTATGTTTTACAAGCCCTCAATTTCATGACCCACAATATGCTCAAATACCGAAGAATTTGAAGGCATGCAAATCGTGATTTGGTCGGTGTAGGCAATTTTGGACCGATTTACTGGCCTGGAACCATAACAGCCACCCATTATTTCTTTTGTTCACTGCCCATCAATTTTGTCAAAGATGCTTGCAACTTACATATTACCTTTTTTTCAAGGTTTTGAAATTAAATTAATGATCGCATTAACACTTCTGCCTCAATTGGAATGCAAATAAAAGACAGACGGTGAATACAGATATGGCTCTCTGTGTATCGGCTTCAACATGTGGCTTCCACTTCAACTGTCTCTTTAACCTGCCATCCAAGACCGACGAATTCAGAAAGGATTACTTTGAGAAGTAAAATATGCCGAAATGTACACTTCAACACCATGGATTATTAATATCATTTTTTTTTCTAGCTTTATGTTCTTACGTAAAACAGGGTAGGGAAACGTATACTGTGATGCCACGTATAGGATACCGTCATTGAATAATTATTATTAATACCAGTCTGCTCTGATGAACAATTTAAAATTTGTGATTAAACATACCCTAATGTTTTATGCCACATTTAAAAAAAAAGCGAAACTAGAATGCATTAATTGTCTGGCACCATCGCATTCATCAGTTCACAATTTATAAAATGCATTCAGGGAACACGACCAAAATGGCTTCCTTGTGAATAAGGTCCATTGCGCGGTCCACACATGAAGCACCCATGTGGTAAAACTTACCTTAAAAACGGAGAGGCTCTGAAGTTTAAATAGAGTTCCACAAAATACGGGGGCAGGGAATTCAGTGTTCTTCACGAAGCCATGCTTATTATGACCAACTTTGAAACTCGCTGCCTCGAATTGCTGTTCAACACACATTGAAAATGATATAGCCAGTGACAACCCAATGAAGTCTGTCCGCTAGATGCTCAAAAATGATAGAGTTGATAAACACTACATGCGCTAGCGTGCATTTCCTAGCAACGGGTGGATGGGCGCTCCAACACAATAAAGCCACGAACCTTGCCCTGTGGAATATTTTTTTCCCGACAATTTTTTCTTTCTTTTGAATTATAGTGGCCCTCTCACAATAGATACGCCGTGAGAGGCATTGTGTCCATCCACTGTAGCGCTATATCAACACTGAGGAATGCAGAACCATTCACATGGCCTATTTTGCGCATTGAATGGAAAATCTTTTTATCAATCGGGCAATTCTGCATCTAGCTACTGAACTACGACGTCAGTGTTTATCAGGCTATTAGCTTGGAAACTGTGAACCGAATACAGGACTCGGTCGCTCGACTTACCCTGAGTTTGGGACCTAATTTGGCAAAAGCAACATACCAACCATAAATATACCTTTGCTGAGCACGGGCGGATCCAGGGGATGGGGGCCAAAGGGGGCCATGCCCCCCCCCCCCCAAAAAAAAACCCCAAACCGAATCCATTTTTTTAATATGATTTCGCAATAAAGGCAAGCAATGAGTAAACCACCATCTTTTCCTAAAAAAACAAACATGGTTAAAGTGGTCAGAAATTGCCTTAGATCTCACCACAGAGCATCTAGAATCCCAAGAATTTTCGGGGACCTCAAGCGGGCCCCAAACCCCACGCCGTCAATTTGTTTGGACACACTTTTTGGGGACCAACATTTTTTTTTGGCCCCCAAACAATTGTGTTCTGGATCCGCCCTTGTTGATGAGTACCTGGAATAAGAGCGCTAACTTGACACAAATTATTAGCCTTAGTATATATCCCTACCCGTTCGAACTAAAAGTCGTGTACGTTGCTTGACGTATTGATGTATTTCACGTGACATCACAGGTCAGTGGTCACCACTGATCCAGGGAAATAATACAGAGAAAACAGATAATCTTTTTGATTTTTGTGCTTAAGCCCATTCCACTGGATTTGGCAACATTTTGTTTCCCGAATTTGGCCTGAACAGATTTATAGCATGTAAAATGCCATCAACGTTTTTTCAGTCAATCACGTTGAACTGCAATAGATTATGAGATCTACTAATCAGCTTCCTCGTCCCAAGGGGAAATCAGTGGTTCTCTCTGTCTGAGTGTAATAATAGTCGGGAATTAGTACGCTGACATGATCCGAGATTCTCCCTGAAGCATTCCCATACACAGAAGCAAATTGGGCCGATCCGAATGGATAAAAGAGGTATTATCGTATTTCTGGTTATACGAAAGCCGTGAAATTAGAAAAACAAGATGACATTTTACAGTGTTTTTACACTGTTGAATCAACATCATTTGATATCTATATACTGTGATCTCGTATAGCTCGTGAAACAAAATCTCCACGCTACGTTTACACGACAACACTTTTCTTCGTAGAGCAGCGGACTATTTAAAGGTGTATTATGGCCCGAAAACCCCCAAAATATTATTGGGTTGTTTACTTATTCTATTTCAAAGGTCTGGTTGAAAGGAAACAAACCTAAAGTTTCCGTTCCCGAGAAAAGGACGCGGCGGACATTTTGTGGCATACGCATACGTATTTCCAGCCGTGTCTATTCAATGTACGGTACTCGTGCGTGTGACACATAATACAAACAACGCCAATACACAAATAGTGTTTCTCGCACGTCCGCAAAATGCGATGCACTAGTGGAACATATGCGGCAGGTTGAGGCAAGCTTGCTTGCTTGAGCCACTTAATCTCATGTTTATTTAAATCAGTGTCTTAACCTTTGCCGTTCGCATTTGTTAAGTGGAAATAAATATGAATGTATAAATAAATGAATGATATACATGTGCTCCTGGGTTTTTTGTAATTTCTCTTTTTCTGTGTGGATTTTAAAGGGAAAAAATGTAGCAGTGACCAAGTCTGTTCTCAGGGCGACAAAACAAATTACTAAAGATGCACCTTGTCCTTCGTTGAGAGACATGTTCTCTGTATGGAGCAAAATAATCGGTAGGGCTTTGAGCGGGGGAAATAATTGCTATATACCACTTGACAGATTGAGGTGGCCGTGGTATATTAACAAACATAATGAGTCAACTGGTACTTAGGCCCAGTCCAATGTTAGCCTTGGAGTCTCGACTGAGGCTAAAGTATAAAAAAAAATTAAATCAAAGCGTATCTGTTTGGTAATCTCCCTTTTCTCTTGAAGTGAATTGAACACAGGCCTCTAAGGTTTTGTACAGACCACAGATTGCGTGCTCCTTGTTATTACTGTAGTAAACCACGATGGTGGTAAGTGGGGTGCTGAGGCCTGAGCCACAACGGGTTCCTAGATTTATCCAGGGGCTAAGAAGGAGTAATGGAGACACGCTGCATGCAACTTGACTGCGACCCTCTCTTTTATTTGAACTTGAAGGTCCACAGAACGGAAAATCAAAACCCCCAACAGCTGATAAGTGGCCTAGTTTGCCACATTTAGGCCTAAGTCACCATTAACCGGCATGCTCACAAATATTCTCATTCATTGGCCGTGGAATTTGCTGCCCTGGTTGTGGTGTCGCTACAAAAGGTCGATCCCCGTTTACTTCAGGTACATATCGGTACGCCATAATCACGCAAACAAGGTTGTAGGCAACTTCCCTCCTTCTTTAGGAGGTTAAATCTATATCTGTAAGTAGTTTTTGTTGTTATTATTATTCTTTCATACGAGGAGATCATCAAAGACAAATACATGGTGAATAGAACTTCCATTGCACGGTGTCACTGCTGCTGGTAGCGGCGCTGTTTTAAATCGAGATCAATTGAATATGATTGTTCTCATTATTCTCAACCTGTTGAACAGTCAGTTGCATTAATAAAACATGATGAACTTGTCGAACTTTTAAACAGTTTTTAACCTGAATAAATTGGCTATTAAAAGTCAACCAATCAGATGACAAGGATTTATTCAGGTGTTATATAAAACAAGTAATGAATGTTTCACGTTCGTGCAATGGAAAGAATAATTTCATTCGGTGACAGTTGAAATGTTCCATTTCACTCGGCCATCTGTCACCTCATGAAATTATTCTTACCATTGCACTCACAAAAATGTATTATTTGTATTCTGTAGCACGCGTTTTCGTCCAACTCATGTGTGGTGATGAGGCTCTGCACGGATGCAGAACTCGCTTAAAGCGGCACTCTCGAAAGTTTAGACAATTCATGTCGCTTTTCCCGTATTCCCACATTACGTCCAACACAATGCACATTCGTAAAACATACTATCATCGTGTCTTAGTTTTTGTTTTAATATCAACATGAGTTGATCAGATTTCCTCTTTAATTATAGAATTTGGCAGTCGATTCGGACGATTCACAATGCAGTGCACTACCAAGTGTTTGCCACGTTGAGTTCATTTCTCCCAGTGCATTGTGGGACAGCGCGGGACAATTGAAATTGTTATAGTTTTTCATGCCAGTAGATTCGTGAGCGTATGATTTGTGTATCTGTTCGCCCCTTTTGTTGACGATCGTTGACATGACAATAGTTCGACTAGAGTCGTTGGCACTTCAACTTCAGTGCGCATGTGCTAGGTACGTCACGAACCAACTACTAGTTAACCACAGGTCCTTGTTCGAACTTGCCCAATATTGCTTATAATCGTCGGTAGGGTTCATAACAACTAACATGTGGAAGTTTTTGCTCCGTGGCAACACTACATTTTGAGAAAACACTTTCTGGTCTCGTAACTAGATTGCGTTGCTAACGCACGTACAAAAAGTGGCCGCGCACACCTTTTGTAAAACCATATTCAATTATTGGGTTTTTTTGCCGACCGATACCATGTATTTGGTATGTACCACTTGGTACTTGTTTTCATTGAATCGGTAGGGCCGTTTCCGCATTTTTACCAATGTTCGTACATGCACATGCACGTGTCTTTAAGGGAAGTCCGAGAATTATTCAATAAAGAACTGAAGCATGCGCATTATAACCAGTGACTTTACATGATTGCACAAAGAGTAATTGCCTTCTGCCGTGCTGCCATTGGGAATGAAGTCAGAAAGTGACCAGCGCGGTTGTTTGGTCATGATGACCTCCAAGGAGGACAAGTTATTCGGTCTCTGTGCGCATGCGGTGAGCTTAACCAATCAGAAGTGCTGGAAGGGAGAATCGCCACTAAACAACCAATGAGACCATGAGGCGGCCGTTGCCCAATGTCATGTACCCAATGACGCAACAAGTTAAGATCGCTATAGCTTGAAGCAGACGTGACAATGTGTATACAAAACGTCAAAGGCCGGAGTCAGGCGTTATTCACATGTTTTGCAATGTGACCGTCAAGACTCACATCAGGCAACGAGAGGCATTTCCGGAAACACAACCACACGACGCCTGTCGCGCGGCGTCTTATACGCGTTGCGTTAGCTAATACTTAGGTCACCGACTGCTAATCCACGCGCCGTTCTTCACAACGACCGGAGACACCATGAGCGGTACGGAGCCAACCTCCTCATGGGGCTGGGAGGTGGGAATCACCGGGGCCGCGGTGTCTGACGCAACCGCTCGAGATGACGATTCCGCAGGAGGGTTACCAGAGGGCCAACAGCATTGGGAGGTCCCGTTTCTAACGACCGTTAGCGTGTTTGGAGTGTTAGGCAACCTGGTGGTTCTTGTCGTCTACAGCAGCAAGGCATTCCGGCGATCCAACTCGGCACTTTACATTCTCAACCTAGCTGCAGGTAAATTGTATAACTTTGATTAGGCCAAAAAAAAATACTCGGTCTCTGGTCAGACCAAAGTTCCGGAATTGACGCGGCCACGCGGCTTTTTTTTTTTCTTTCTTTTTTTTCTTATTTCTTCAAGCTTGGATTGTACAGACAAGGTGGGGTACTATTTTGCTTTTTTGGTGTCCTCATGTACATTGGTGTCCTCCATAATTTGCCTTGGTGCTCTCGATCATTTGCCTTGGTGCAATTTCCCATTCCTTGGTGCCCTTTGGTAAAAACAATTGAGGAGGTGCGGAAATAGAGGGCGCTGTTGGAGCTACCGCGGAACATTTTGGAAAAAAAAAAGATCGACGAGCATGATTAAAATCGACGCGCGCGCTGACCAGAGACCGACTTATTATTTTTTTGGCCTTACCTGAAATAAAATGCCTATTTTAAATTTTGGTCTTCAACCCTTTCAGAGCCAAGGAAAACGCGCTCGTTCACGCGTGTGGAATATGAAACACTCTTATGCTTAGCATGGATTTGGATATGATGCTTACAAACCAAAATTGAAGAAATCCAAAAATTTGGTGTGTTTTTTTAGATTACCATACGGGCGGAATTCAACCAACCGCCCCAGCATTAGAGGCTTCTCCTTTAAGAGCAACTCCGACGACAACACCATTTCAAAAATAATATATGAATATTTGTAAATGAAGCTAGTACGTAATCATCATGTCCCTACAAAATAAGTGCTTATGAGGCAACATTAGAAACATGTGCATTATTTAATTAGGCCAAATTTGTTGTTCTATTCTTGGTTACGTGTACTCTTGTAAGTTTTCTCATAATTGTTACGTCTATTTGTACATATGTGTATATGTTTTTTTTATGGTTTTTATGTTATATAAACCTCTATAATGACAATTTAAAAAAAAACAATCTGTCACATTATAGGCTTATTTTTGTTGGGTCAAATGTTAATTAAATATTGATTTTAACACCAAAACATTCACAATAATTCCTTTGATTGCAAAAAAAACCCCAATATCCAGGAAGGACTTGTACTGCGCTCGATTCAGCATCGAGTCACTCCTCGTTAAGCTGAAGGCGTTTCTTTGTTGCACAGCTTTCAAATCAAGGAAATTTAACACCAGCGGTCCTCGTTATTTTCTCATTACACGAGCAATTATGCAGTACCAATTACAGCATAAGTGCAGCTCGGATAGCGAAGGTTGGGAGAATAATGGCTGACTTCGTGGCGGACGCGACCCAGCCAGAAAATTTCTCATTATTTGTTTTTCGCGCTTATTCACAATACGCGTAATAAACTGTAACGAGGCGACTGATACCGTGTTGATGTAAAACGCGGGAACTTCTTGCGCAAATTGGTAATTACAATAATTGTTTTTCATGCTAGCAATGCAAAGACGGTATCAAGCGCTACACTTGTGTCCGTGGCCGGAGCAGGGGTGAAATCTTGGGGGATGGGGGGGGAGGGTATATATCTCCCACACTTTTTTGACCAGGGGGATTGGCTATTGAATCACCCCCCCCCCCCCCCCCCCCACACACACACACACACACACTTTTTCGTGATGAGAAAAAAATGTGGATTTTGAGGTATTTTCCGAACGTCCCAACAACTAAAATGTATTCAGTAGCATTGAAAAGTGGAGAAACAAAGTACAAAGCTTTAAACATGTAAGCGCGAGTATACATATTGATATACATCTTTATCCTGTTGAGCGCCCCTAGTATAATGTGGAGTCCAGCCCCCCCTTTGGCCTACGAAAAATGTGGGGGCCTACGAAAACTTGGGGGCCTACGAAAACTTGGGGGAGGGCCTACGAAAATACCGCAGTGTGCCATAAAAACACATAGGCCTACCCACACACCCACACGCGCAGATATTTTTTTCTAAAGTTTTAGGGTCTCTCTCAGCATTTTCGATTTCACCAACTGACGCTGTACAACATATATGCATAGTCCCTACGTATAAAATGTACGTGTAAAGTCTGTCGTTCTGAAGCACGGTGCCAACCAAGGGTGTCGAACGTTGGGGGAACGGAGGGGGGGGGGGCTGATGTCGTTCCCCAACGATTTTCGTCCCTGAATACAAAATATGTAGCCTACATTTGATTCTATAGCTCAGAACAGCAGATTTAATGACTCCAAACTCGAAAAAGATGTTTAAATTATGATCTTGTGTTAAAATTTTAGCAGTCGTCAGAAATTGCCTCAGATCGCACCACAGGGCGCCTAGAATCCGTTTTTTCAGGGGCCCTTATATCAAGCGGGCCCCGAACCCCGCGCCGTTTAGGCGTCGCACTCAAACAATTAGTACTGATCAGTGTTGCAGTCAAAACCGGATAGTCCGAGACCGAGACCAAGACCGAGACCTGAAGTTGCGAGACTGAGACTGAGACCGAGACCAGCCCCTTCAAGGCGGACCGAGACCGAGACCGAATTGGTCCGAGACCGAGACCGCGGATAATAAATAACAATAATCTAAATAAACAACAAGACACTAATTACAGCTGAACATTCTGTCCTTGAGATGTTGATGTTCATGGGGATGTGAAGGAAGTGATTGAAAGTTAGGAATCACTTGTACCTGCTTAATTGTGTCATGCGAGTGCTCTTCGTATTTGCTTCATGCCTTAAATTACAACATGGCAACAGAATGTGTTATTGTCACGATCAATTAAAACAATTGGAAACAACCTAATTTAAAGAAGGGGAAAACCTTATTTGATGAACTCCATATATTTTTGCCACTTTTTAAACAATATATTTTTTTTTATATTGTTTATCTACTATAAAGTGTAAATCTGATGAAGAAATTCAAACTTAGGAGTACGACAATTTGTACTAGTTTTTGCAAAACTTGAACATGTTGAGACTTGACAAAGGTAAAAAGTTAAAGGTGGATGTTTCATCTGTTATAGGAACTCGGACCCTAAACTCCACAGCCACCCCTTGGTTTCAGCAATGACCACTAACGGATATTTAAATGCAACTTTAATTTTACATTGGACCTCCTTGTAAACCTGATTCGAAAAAAATTTGGAGCAAGAAAATATTGATTTGTTTTTAAAAATTTCAGTCATGGAATATAGATTTGTACATGTAGACCAAAAAATTGAGAGATGGTAGCCAGATATGGATTGGTCTGCCCCCCCCCCCCTACCATCCCTCTTTGTGATTCTCCTTCCAACCCTGCATGTCTGTGTGTCCCCTACATGTTTGTTACTTGTTCCTCTGTCATTTACCTCTGAAGAAGGCCTGGCTAAGGCTGAAATGTAATGCCACTTTATTTTTGTTTAATGTCAATAACGTTACATATACTATAGAAGATTGATGAACGATATTTGCCTGATCTATCTTCTGTTAATCTGCCCACCGTCATCATCGTCATTAGCCTTTTTGAGAATATGGCCGACACAATAGAAGGGCACTGTCACAACCTGAATGTGGTGGGCGAGATGCACTCTTAGGATTCATGGCCCAGTGCCCACGCCTCTCTGTGTTTTGTACCGTGCCATCGTATCGCCCGCATCAGCTACTTTGCTGGGCAATTTACTTGAATATTTTAGTGATTAACAAGTACGACATATTGCCAATTTATTAATAGTTTATTGTGATGGCCGTAAACAGCATATAGCGATTAATGGAACACAATTCTTCTCGACTCATGCAAATGCAATTGACATTTAGGAAGGAGACGAGACAGGCAATTAAACTCTATTTATGTGTGACCAAGGCAGTAGCTCTATTTGTGTTTATCACAAATGAAAAGATGAATACATGGCGAGTCAAAAAGAAAGTGACCGTATGATAAGATATGAGTGTTCATACTGCTTAAGATGATTCAGGACCATTTTTATCGTATTCGTATATTTATTTCAGGTAAATACAGTCAGCATGCAGTTTGAAGCAGTTTAATTCATTTTGATAATAACTTACATTGAAATAATCTAATGACAAAAAGAAAAAGAGTCAATCGAGTGGAAACTCAATCTACGATCGATTGAATGAATTTTACTCGAAAACGTGAGATTCCTTAATTCAGTCGGGGGGGGGTGTGAATTTTTAATCGAATACGGAATTTCTCACACTTGGAAATAAGAGAGAAATTCCTTAGTGTGTGCAAACGGCAACAGCGCCCTCATCAATTGTCAGGAAATAGCACATGGACCTTTGTAAATAATGAGAATGAGCACTAACATACTATTTAAATCAAACAAAAAAAGTGTCTCATTATTTTCATGAAGTTCAGGGGACTTTTGCTCAAAACATGCACTACAGAGGCATTTTGCTCAAAGGGACGTCTCAGTGTGATGTTCATTGCACGAGCCCTTTTTACAGAGGTGGGGAAACAATAATGCATCATTTTTTTCTCTCTTAACTCCTGCAAACAAACCCTTTGCACGAACTATTCACGTGCAAGGCTTTATTGGCAACACTATACAAAAGTGGAAAATGCCTTTTGTTGCGCCATGCACGACTTGCACGCAATGATGAGCCGAACGTGTCAAATGCGAAGACGTGGCTATATAAACGAGGCATTTCAAGCATACCGGTGGTCGTCGCAATGAAGTGAAATGCATTATTACATTATCCGGAAGCTGTTATTTTTTTAATTTATCAACAAAATAAGAAGCTTTTGAAAAAAGGAAAGCAGTGATTCATTGTAATGCCTAAAAGCAACAATTATGGCCCTTTAACTATGGCGTTTATGGCCGTGATTTTTGAAAGACTTCTCATGCGCGCTTTACGCACGTAGGCCCTAAGCCCTGTAAACAAACATTACTAAAGAAAGATGTTTTTGCGTTGCCAATAAAACACGTATTTAAGAATAGATACGCGAGTTACATAACAAATCCCACGGCCTGGAGTTACGTTGGAAGCAAGAAAATTTTCTTTATTATTTTTTTGCAGTTTCTTGAAGTGAAATCCCTCCCCCCCCCCTTTTACTTCCATTTCGCAAAAATGATCTTAGTGATATTTGACTCCTTGCTCTCAAACTGCATTTTTATTTTTATTCTAACATACATATTTAATCTCGATATCAGTGACGCACACCCAATTCATAATAGATATCGGACTTAGTTTCAGATAGGCCTATTTCGGTTTATAAAGAAATCCCATTCTATCATTTCACTGTTTTTGGAGGAGTGCATTCTTCCAAAGCTCCGGGCCAGATGTGACCCAGAATCCTGGTCAGATTTGATGTGCTACTTTTCAGGGTCAAAATGTCACCTTTTCTTGGTAAAAAATGACGTCTACTATGAATCATTTCCCAGGTCGTTTTGAATTGTTTTTGGTATTTTTCTTTCCAGCCTCGCTTTGGTTACGTGAATTGAATGGAAACAAGTACGATGGCCGCAACATGATAATGGTCTATAGTGCCTGTAGGCCTATTAACCTCTAAATGAACCTAATAAGAAAGCATTGGAGACGTTCACGTGAATAAATACCATAAAGGGCTTGTGTGTTCGTTAAATATATTCGATTCTTCATCTTAAATTCACTTTTTCATAATTTCGAGAATAATCAAAATATACTAAAGAGAACGTACTAACACATTTTTTGCAACCTTTTAATTCCATCCTTTGGTTATTTTTACAGCTTGCGTTTTGACAGGGAGTAAAACCCGCAGAGAGACGGCGCCCTTCACACCAAGATGCTATTCCTCGATAAACTATTTAATCAGATTGACATTTTCACAGCCAAGAAAGAGACTCGCAAAAAAAAAAAATCCCCTATCGTTTTCCACACAACTCCCCTTCGTCCAGACCCGTCTTTCATAACGACGAAAAGTATCTAATGCGCCTTGATGTTTAGTGGTAAAGTTTGTCCACCCACGCCCAGTAAATCGAAGAGAAAAAAAACCCGTAGTTTTGTCTGTGCTCCAGAAATCATAGCAATCCGGACGGGGATTAACAATAAGCGGATTAAAAAACTTGGGATTAGCGTGCGAACTTTCGCGATCGCACTCGCTGCGCACTTGTATGTCATCAGAAAGTCCTTGCATAACGAAGGGATCCCCGCGAGTTATTAAATTCATGATGTAACTAAAAAAAATAAGATCTTGTTACACACTTCTCATCGGGCGCCAAACTCCCACAATATTGTGAACTTCAGTAGTACAGTGCACTACATTGTATCTGCGATTCTTGTACAATTGGACAGTGACCGATCCAAACAGTATTACGAGACATTGCGAGCTGCCGAAGTGTCACCTCCTCCCCAGTTCAGGCTCACTTTCTCGACAACGGTTCACGCGCATTCCGTATTAGTGAGGTACCTTAGTGAAAAAATCGTGACACAGTGGACAAAAGCACAATTTTTTTTCACCAAAGCATCTCCATGGTATACCTTTTCGAAAAAAAGACGGACGCAAAAAATTGGATGATGGGAAGGGCATAACTACCAATACAGCATGATAAATATGTCAAACTTACTAAAAAAAATTGCACAAATGAAGGATAATTGCACAGAAGGATAACAGTCAAATGTTTCACTGTTTGAAGAACTTGTGTACCGGATGAAAACTTACTGCCTTTACACAAATGGCATTTTCTCAGCAATCCAAAGTGCTATTTTCATGATTTTTTTTCAGTATTTGAACGAAAAAGCTCTCAGCTTTAATCTGATACCCAAAACATAAAAATCTACCTTCCTTTTTTTAAGACAAATGTTTTGGGGTTGCATTTTTTTTTATGGTCGCCCTGTACATCACTACCGTCTCCATGCTAAAGCCACCATCTCCTCGCAAAGCTAACTTAAAAAGGAGCATTACAATATTTAAAAAAAAAAAAATTAAACTTGATGACCCCTCCCCCCCCCCCCAAAAAAAAAATAATAATAATTAAAAAAAAGCGAAATTCGACCGCAACTTCTTGTCAATTGAGAATAGCCTAGGCCTAGTGCACTATAGTTGGTGTACGTTTGAAGCAAAAGTGTTATGGTTCATATTTCAAAGCCTAAAGTTGCCGACAATCATAAGGTATAACTGCATGTACATGGCAGCTTATTAGAAGCCTTAAAATCTTATGTGATGGAATAAGTTGCTTAACAACACAAGCTTTCACGTTTTGGGCACTATATAGTTACCTTAGTTATCCAAGTTTTTCTAATTACCTACATTAGTTAACTAGTTGCCTTAGTTTAATCTTTTCTGTCATGATTCTACCTTTGCATCTCATCCTGTCTGTTCCCGTCTTCTCGACAGGTGACCTATTCCTTCTTCTCCTCGTGGTCCCCTTGCACGTCACCGAGTACTACCCCGCCACTTGGCCCCTCCTCTGGCGCCACGACGCCCAGTGCGTCCTGCACCGCTACGCTCGCTTCGTGGGTTTCAACCTGACCACCTTCACCGCGTTGGCCATCTCCGTGGACCGCTACCTGGCCGTCTGTCACCCGTTGGTGTACCGGGCCCGCTGCACCAGGGCCCGGACCCGGCTCTGTATCCTGCTGGTGTGGGGGCTGGCGGCTGCCACGGCCGCGCCCTGCGCCATCAATTTCGGAGTAAGAAAAATCGGTCCGATTCCATTGTTCTGCTATCCATGTAATTATTACATGATTATGATCCCCATTATGTGCGTATAACAGATCTTTTATAGGCCTACAAGGAATTCTGTGCTTACATTGGTTTTATATGAAGTTACCTCATTGTTAGTTAATTATATGTATTATTAGTTATATGTATTATAATTTAAGAATGTTAAATTTATAACTCCGTCAGAGGTTTCATAACTTCATTGCGCCCTCCATGTCCAGGAGAATCTGGATTTCTTGAAGTTTGATCACTGACCGGTAATGAATCTCAGTAAAAATGCTACATGTGCATTCCATTCTTTAACATTATTTGTACACAAATATTCAAATAACAAATGTCTCCTGTCTTTTCACTGGTCATACCACTGAATGTTCAAACTAGCAAAGCTGCTTTCTTCTAAAATCCACCTTATGATTAGACATTTAGAGGTCTACAAAATGTACGTCAGAAAATCATGTTTACCTGTTGCTTTTCCTCTCTCTCTTGGTTATAGGTCAAGTATGAAGTCGGCGAGTACACCGTCAACTTCGTGGGCAAGACCCCCTTCGCATGTCGCACGATCTTCATAGGCTCCTTCTACCAGAATTTCAAGGTCATCTACGTCTCCGTGGTTCTCTTCTGGGTGCCCGTCCTGGCCACGGCGATAACCTACACGGCCGTAGTGGGCTACGTCTGGCGCAACAACAAGAAGTTCCGCCAGTGCACCTCGGCCGGGCGACACCTGCGAAGCCACTGGAAGGCCGCCCGGACCCTCCTGTTGGTATTCGGGGTCTACGTTGCTACCTACGTGTTCCTGGCTACTTACACCCTGGTGCGGCAGTACGCTACCGCTGACGTCTCTCCCTTGGTCAAGAACGTGGGGCTCCTCCTCCCATACGCCAACTGCTGCCTCAACCCCGTGGTGTACTCCTTAGTCAACGTGAGCTTCAGGAGGTCCTGCATGCAGATTTTCTGTCCGGGGAACAGAACGAAGGGTGGTGCCGGCGGGTCCTCCAGCAACAACGCCGGGAAGGGAGAGTCTGTCTCGGGTCAGCAGGCCTCGGCCAGCGTGGGACAGGGCGGTATAGAGCGTGACTCGCAGGCGGGAGTCGCTGATGACGAGGAGCCAGTAGGGAGTTCCGATGTGAACGATGTTGGGCAAGACCATGCTTATGGTTTCGACAACCAAGCATATGATGAGGGAAAAGTCGATCACTATCATGGATTTGACAGTGTGATGTGAGTGCCAGCCATGGCACTGAACTCGGTATTTTTTTTCTTCACTTGTGTGAGCATTATATGTTACCGATCATTTCCCGGCCAAAGAAACAAGCGACCTTATAATTATGAACCTCTCACTTACGAAACTAAGATTCTAATTCTGAGACGGTTCATTGTGAAAACGGAAGGGATATAGGCAAGGCCTACTTACGCGCCATTTCAAGCCTTTACCGATACCATTCCACCACGTGTGAGAGCGGGACTCTGGTTCCCCGACGATGTATTTTTGTTTTATCTCCTTCGGACTACGGTACCAGTCTATTCACATCAGTCACCCGTAGTCTGGTAACCTGGCCGTGTCATGATCCACACAGAACGTTTGGTGTATAGTCTGACGTAATTACGTGCCCGTTTGTGTACACGTATGCACCCATTCACTTTCGTTGTATACTGTTTGAATGTCACACTGGGCACGAAGCCCCCCCCCCCCCCCCCCCCAAAAAAGGCTCCGGTTTCTGGTATAGAGCTTGCCCAAAAAGTAGTGCGGCGACGCGGCTTTTTTTTTTTTTTTACCGTTTTTTTTTTGCTTCAAATGTCGGCTGAGGACTGCAATTGGTGCCCAACTAAACTTAGTGAAAATATATGGGAGTCCAGAGAGGCCACATACAGCTTATTCTCGATCATAACCCCATCTAAAAACACGTTAAAATTGTGCAGCAGCAGGATTCCAGTCAAACCAGTGAGTTTGGCAGTTTTGAGTCATCATCTTTTATTGAAACAAAAAACTTTTTCATTTTGCCGACGCGCATGGCTACGGCGACGCGCGCGCATACCAGACTTTTTTGGGGGCCTAATCAGACGTCTTGACTCACAAGATTATTTTTGGAGCAAATACAGATGCAATGTAGCATGCACTGGCTATATATACCTATAGTCGCGGTGCTATCACTTGGAGCATTTGACTCGGTGCAGACCAGCAAATTGACCATATAGACGTCAGTGATAATAACGCGCAAATCCAAAAAGTATTTCAAAATACTCACAACTCTCCAAGGTGTTTGAGACACCAATCAAACTAATTAAAGCTTATTTGACCAATCAAAATAATCAAAGCTTATTTCATCAGCTTTCGTTTTATGTTCAATTCATGGATGGTAGCCTAATCCGTGACTTTTGGGAGAAACTTCCATCCAAAGATGATCCCCCATAAAAAGTGGTCATGTGGCCCATCTCCATGATGCCTGTGCTCCATTGCAAAATAGAGCAATTTTAGGGTCTACTTTCATCCGAATTTCACAGAATTACGAGCTCGCAGGCCGCGCCTGTGCACGGCTTCCACCCAGGAGTTCATGGCCCACAAAATACTCAACTAGCAAAACAAAACAGGGCATGCAAATCGTGATTTGGCCCCGGCAGGCAATTTTGGGCCTATTTACTAGTCTGCACCCTTTAAAATACCCATCATTTTGCTATTTCTCCAAACCACTTTTATGGCAAGAGGAAGGATCCATTGCTCGTATTTTATCCAAAAAATTGGGAGAAAATGTTATCTGAGATCGATATCAGGCCTGAACATGGGAAGGCAATTTTCGGCCTATTTACTTATCTGCGCGTACCCTTGAGGGAGGAAGGCACGAATGAGCCAATTCGGTATTCGGAATACGCACGTGTTAGATATAGCGGGTCATAGGTCATTCTGGATAAAAATAAGTAGCGATCTCCATGAAAACTTCCGAAGCCGAATTATTTTAGTGATGGTACTTCGGTTTGTGCCACAAGTTAAGAAATCTCGAGGTAAACAGCGATCGTTGGTGCACATATACGTACGTCCTCAGACGTCCTTATCCCGAACTACATTTGACCAGAACCACGTCGATGGGAGTGGGAGTGTTACGCCCCAACCATGGTCGAATATTGGGACTGCCCCAATACAACAGTAGTTGGGACCAAAGCCATAGTTTGGGCGTAACAGGAACAAAATACCAATTTGGCGTACGTCCCCAAATATCAAATTCAACAGTCGTCCAGTGTCCCTATATTACTTTAGTTGTCAGACCGTGATCAAGACATTCCATATTGCCTGCCGGGCGTTTAAACAAAATAACGATTTCACCAGAAATGGACCAATCACTAAATACCAAAGACACGTGACAAGCGTGCCGGCTATTTCGTTACTTCATATTTTGTTGCTGATCTAACGTTTCATACAAAATATTTGTTTACCAAAAAAGCGTATACTCTATAAATATAATTATAACCAAAAAGTGCACTCATGCATTTAAACTTTACCTCATATATGTTCGCTCGTACCCATCGCCCCTAAACATGGCGCTGGGAAGGGCTAATTTCTTCTGCATGCATAACGTAATTTCTTCAAACCCCCATTGGATAGAATTTGTTGAATAACACAGGTCAACCCTTCCGCATGCGCATGACACGTGCGCACAGAACGCACGTGCATTGGTTGAGGCAGTAAGCTCCCCACAACGCTTTGCGCGCCTGTGCTTCCGTCATAAAATTTTCTGCAGGAGATAAGCCCTTCCCAGCGCCCTGGTTGGTCGTGGATACGAACGAAAATATAAAGTAGCCTACGTAAAAGTACAGAGTATTTTAAAAAACAAAGCTGCAATCAACGAATATAATACCCGTTACATGCATTTGTAAGCGGTTGTCTCTTCAAATAAGAAGTATAATGCTGAAGTATCTTTTAAAAGACATAAAGGCATTTCAACTTTATCGCATTTCATACCACACGTTACTGTGGAAACGCCACCCTGTTTTGTTTTGTAAACATTCACAGTATAAGGACTAATCATGAAAGTTGAAATGTAGTGCCATTCTGTGATTTATCATAAACATTGAAACCAGGGACCAGACCATTTAAACTGAAAAATTCAGATTGAACTTTGAAAACGATTCACTACAGGTCGAACTTCAAGTGTAAATTCGATCTCATTGACTGCATAATGCCTCTAGTTTCAGTGAGGAAAAAAAGTTTTCACTCTGGAAATAAGCTAGATTGTAAGGTTTATAAAGAAAAGAAATCAAGGTCGCTCATCAGCTGATGCTTATTTTTCATATCAAGTAACTACTGATAATATTAAATATAAAACTTATAACGCACGTTAATCATTAATAACATGCTCTAATGCGCTGTATATAATAGAATCTACACAATTTTAATTCACACATTGAACTTATGATTATTTACTCAATACACAAATAAACATGAAATTGGTACATACGATCATTTGCATTTATCCCCAAATAAGCCTACCGTATCCAAAAAGCTTTTAAAAGGCGAATAAAGATCGCACTGGTACTAAACATCCCGTGAAATTATTTCGTCTGGCTAGCTTACCGTCATTTCGAAACAATACAGAAATGTAGGTGATTTCCAACGATCAGTCAATTGACTGATTTTTTTTTTTTAATAAAGAGTGCCATCGACGATATCGTTTCTCGTAATCACATTATTGTGCATGGTTTTCACTGTTTTCTCGAACACTGTAATATCCACTGAGCTGAAAGTTCAACAAGCTAGGTGTTGAGCATTCGTCTTCGGATTTTGAGCGGTGTTATTATTGAAAACGAACAAAATGCATGAAAAGCAAACGATCCTATATGCCTATAAAGGAGATAAATAAAAGAAAATGGTGGAATCGTTCTAAGTAAGATTTTAGAATCGCTTTTTTATTGGGAGTTTGGGGAGCCAAGATTGAATATATCTAATGAGGAACTTAAATACAAAGAAAATAGTTTTGTTTTTCTTATCAACTACTGATCAGTATTTATCCCTTTTACAGGCATATAGGATCGTTTGCTTTTCATGCATTTTGTTTGTTTCCAGTACTACATTTTTGAATTAATGGAACTGTTTTAATTAATAAACATTAAGGCCATACACGTGGCTTTTGTGTTTGTATAAATGGACAAAAATTGACTTCAAAGCTGGTACATGCGATTATAAAAAAGTTAGCCTCAAATCGTATAATCATAGTTTTTTTTATTTGTTAACAGAAAAACACAAAAAGCTTAGTTACTAAATATATGAGTTTCAGGTAAAATGCTGTTATTTAATATTCCACTGGAAAAATACTCAGGACAAAGGTATGACAGCATTGTGGTCGTAAAAGATAACTGCTTTATGAAAAATTGCACTTTGTAGTTTTTGGTTCAGAACTGTGTTAGTGTTTATTGGACGGAAAAAAAGTCTTCCACAATAATACTGTAACTGGAATGTGAGCTCCCCACAAAATGAGAGTTATGTTGCAAATAAATGAGATTTTCTGATCTTATTTTCGTTGGCCATGGCAACAAATACTGAAAAAGTGTACAGAAAACTTTTCCCCAGCAGTTTATCATTTAAGGGTTTGAAATGCTCAGAACAAAATTGCACAATGCAGCCATTCGTTTAAAAATATGCAGAGCACCTATGATCGGAGTGAATTCCATTACCCATAAGCCCCTGGACCGTTGCCTTGACTCCCGCGTGTCCTACTTGAGCTGGACCCTGAAAACAGAGCCGCCATCTTGGAGCCATAGTGCCCCTTCCAGAACTGGGTATCTTTGCTTATGTCCTTGTATCCATAGTGAATTCCATTACCCATAAGCCCCTGGACCGTTGCCATGGCTCCTGAGTATCCTAGTTGAGCTGGACCCTGACAACAGAGCCGCCATCTTGGAGCCATAGTGCCCCTTCCAGAACTGAGTATCTTTGCTTATGTCCTTGTACCCATAACCAGAGTGAATTCCGTTACCCATAATGATAAGCCCCTGGACCGTTGCCATGACTCCTGAGTGTCCTACTTGAGCTGCACCCTGACAACAGAGCCTGCTATCTTGGAGCCATAGTGCCCCTTCCAGAACTGTGTATCTACGCTTATGTCCTAGTATCCATAATCAGAGTGAATTCCGTTACCCATAAGCCCCTGGACTGTTGCCATGACTCCCGCGTGTCCTACTCGAGCTGGACCCTGACAACAGAGCCGGCCATCTTGGAGCCATAGTGTCCCTTCCAGAACTGAGTATCTTTGCTCGAGTCCTTGTATTGTATGAAGCGTAGCCCAGGTCCATAGCCTGTGAACACATGACTCACCTGGCGAAGTCAAAAATGGGGTGAAAGAACAATCAACGACAAAAAAACAAAACAGACTGCTGGTAATTAAATTTTAAAGGGAATGTACATTCTGTTGACAATGACAGATTTTCGGTGACAAAACGGCAAATAAAAGTACCCCCCCCCCTTCAACCCCTCCCCCCCACTTCCACACACCCGTGACGCCCATGACCAAGGGGTAGAATCATCGACTCGTCACTAGTCTTCCTCAACAACATTACTAGCCTTTAGTCAAGTCCCACGCGCCTATGCCCGGACCATCTGGACACGTAACGCACCCCGGATGCTGGCACGTAAAAAGACTATAACGAGCGGCGAGGCCGCGAGGGCCTTTACTATCTCGTGGAACTAATCACCTATTTATTTATTCGTGTAATATACATCAAGCAATATAAACCAATCATCTAACGGTGGTTTGCGGTTACCAGCAACAACTGGCGCCAGACGACGGCTGATTTACGTTAGTAATTCTGCATTTTCATTGGTCGATTCACAACGGGTAATGCATTATGCATGTTTACCAAATCGGTAGACAAATGTGAAGGAAAACATAAGCGTTCTCCACGAGATGGTAAAGGCCCTCGTGGCTTCGCCGCTCGTGCTAGTCTTTTTACATGTCAGCATCCGGGGTGTGTCACGTGTCCAGGTAAGCGCCCGGGACTTGAATAAGGCTAAAACATTACCTGCTTCCAGTCATGTGGGGCCCACTGAGGAGTGGTCAGTTCAAACGTAAACTCGTCAATGACATCCTCGGGTTTTTCATCATTTCTCTCCTTCATTAATTTCACCTTGAGCTTGTAAACACTGCCACAGTCAAAACGTGGCGCATACCTTGACCACAAAATTAAGAAAAAGAAAAACGTAAACATTACCACTGGGCGAGTAACCTGATAACTCGGGTACTCACGAGTAGTTTGTGCTAATCATTGTTCTCATCGTGGTTTTTCATTTACTCGGGTACTCGTCCTGGCGCAGGAAGAAGCAGGTACTAGCGAGTAGCTATTTAGGGTTTAGGGTTCACGGCTTAATTCACCCCCTGTAAACAGGGAATCACTTCCTCCACCTCTCTCTCCCGAGGATTCCATTCGTCAAAAAAAAAAAAGTAAATGACTTAAAACTTCGCACAGTAAGGATAAGAATTATCTAAAGTGCTAAAGAATTTGGTGTGACTTGCACATTTGCTTGTACATGTAGTTACTTCCCGTCATACCAACGTATGTTATGTGGTGGCTACAACAGCGCCCTCTATTGCCGCACCGCCTCAACTTTTCGTACCAAGGAGCAGCAAGGAATGGGGAAGGGCACAAAGGCAAACGATGGAGGGCACCAAGGCAATGATGGAGGACACCAATGTTTATATGAGGACACAACAAAAGCAAAATAGTACCACCGTCTGTACAATCCAAGCTTGAAAAAAAAAAGCAACAAAAAAACAAACATTGAAAAACCGCATCGGCGCATCAATTCCGGAGCTTTGGTCTGACCAGAGACCGACTTTTTTTTTTGGCCTAACAGTCTGCATTTCACATTCAGGAAACACAACCTTTCAGGAAATGAAGCTAGTATCGCTATGTCATGTTGCTCTACAGAGGAAGTAGGCCTCTAGTATTTCAGACACATGGGGCTATTAAAGGGAATATACAACATTTGCAAACATCAAAAAATAAAACTACCAAATCATTTGAAATACCTTGCTGGACTGTTAGTGAATGACAGTGTAAAGCATCCTGTAAAATCATGGCACCTGGTATACTGTCATTTGCAAGAAAAATGGTATTTTTATATCAATTTCCAACGCTGATCGGCCGATCAGCGTTGGAAAAAACTGGCCTTTTTTCAAACACTGGCCCCAATTGACCATCTCACTTGTTTGCAATCGATTACAAATCTATGAACGGTACGAGCCAGCTAGACTGGTTCCCTGACCTTACAATTCCCCAATGTATGTAAACTGCTCTGTTTCTTCTTATATGGAGTCAGGGAACCAGACTACAGGAAAATGATTGTTTTTCTTGGTTTTTATAGCATTTTCGAACCCAAAACCTCAAAAAAGTCAGTGTAACTATATTTGCTATATATTTCCAACCCCCCAATTCCATCCATGTCTGAAAATTACAGCAAAAGCAAATGATGTATATTCCCTTTAACTAAAAGCAACAACTTATAGTACATATGTGTAACTGTTAACGTACCACTCTGAGACATATATATCAGGCCGGACTTCGTCCAGAAAGGCGGCGGAGATGCCCTCGGCCACAAGGTCGATGCCCTGAAAGCGTTTACACCAACCAAAGGATGTGGCAAACTGGTGAGGACTGCCGTCACTGATGGCCCGCAGCTCGTCTGGTTTCGGGTCCGATCCCCCATCGGTGGTTTCAACCAACCAACCATCTCCGCCATCAGATGTGATGGTCCAACCCGCTTCCCGCCCATCTGTTATACAATGATTTAAAACAAAATCATTACAAGAATCTGCAAACTTTTAAGAGCCCAGAGGGGAAATTTTCTAAAATTAATTTCTTTTATGTCCAGAAAAAATGAAGGAGATACAATGTATATGTGAAACCTACAGAGTAACATGCCAGAAAATGCAATGATCAAAACACATGTTCAGTAATAATCATAGGCCTATTTAATTATATTACTAGGCCCTACCACCATGCAAACATTCTTCGCAGTGGCTGTTCTAACGACAGCCGTAACTCAATATTCAACTGCTATTGATGCTGACCAATCTGGTGACCCGACCTCATAGTATTTGATGTCAGGATTTTTGGTAGCTGGAACCAGACTATCAACCAACTGGTTCTCGGACTTTATATCCCAGTTTTTTCCTTTACAAAAAAAATCCTCCAAAGCCATTGCATGATTACAAAGAAGAAAATAAACTGATTAAAAATAAAATTGATTAACAACAGTAAAAGAAAACTATTACAAGAAAAAAAAACGGTGGCAAAAAATGTGCAGCTTGGGGGTTAAACCAATCGTGCTACCAAAATTTGGATGCGACTTTTGTCCATGCTTGGGATTCTCATTGGGTCTGGCAATTGACAGTTTTTGAGTTTCTCAAGCATGATGTAGGCAAAATCATACCAGGTGAGATGGATTGGTGTGGATCGGCCTCGGCTAAATTTATCTGATTTGCAAAGAAGACCGTACACAAGACGTCATCATGGGTCATCATGATCATTAATCATGACATTATCGTGATTGCATGGATTATGTGACCGAAAACAATTGACAAACCTTTCCCGCTTGGGTTCTTGATAAGATTCCTCGTGTACGGAGATTTGAAGTAGAATTCTCTCCAATCCTTCGGATAGTACGGCGCCATGTATTTCTCAATAAACCGCCGGGTCCTCAGGCACTTCTTCCGCCAGAATGTTTGGCTGGCGACCACATCCCTCCACTCCCGGCAAACCAGGGCGCAGTTCAACAGCCACTTGTCCAGCACAAACGACAGCACTTCCAGCAGGACTTCGCTGGGAACAACCTCTAGGGTCGTCTGGACATGCTCACCACGATCAAGAGCTACTTGGATCTCGTTTGTGTCGGCTACTGACATGACTTTTCCCTCCATCAATACTGATTGATCCTCTCCCTCTTCGTGCCCTTTCTGATCGGCCACACTGGACGTCGCCATCTTGAAACGCTAAGTTTACACGTATGTTTGTTTCTTAATGATTCTGATCTCCAATAATTTGAGCATGGATTCGCAAAATTTCTATAGGAGGCGCTTTTCGTCCCAACAATGTACCTCGTGATGTTGGCGCAGCCGCGGCAGAACCTGGAAGAAGAAAGTACTAACAATCTGCTTTTTATATAGCGGCAAGGCAAAAAAGCAGAAAAATGGAACCGTATAAAAACAAAGTGTTCAATCTGTTGTTTTTTTCTACTTTGCTTAATAAAAGCAGAAAATTAAAAGTAGATATCCACCTTTCGTCTGTAATATATACAGGGTAGTTTCCCCCCCCCCCCAAAAAAAAACAAGCAAAAGAAAACCGGAATCTCATACTTCCACTACCCTGAGACTCAAAGCACATATATCAATGCATGGAGAATCTTTTTAGAAGCAAAATAAAACCAAGGTCGCCCGATTCGGTCCAGTAGTTTTTGTTCTAGAGCCTATTTTGTGAAGCAACGTGGGGGCATTTTTGTTGGGATAGATTACTAAACCGTGCCCGGGAATTTGACTTACATTGTTGATAGAGGGATTGTTATGAAAGAAGTGTGCTTCACAAAATAGGCTTTGTAGCAAAAACTACTGGACCGAATCGGAATATTTTGGTATCATAATTCTTCTAAAAGGATTGCCCATGGATTGGTGCAGGTAGTTTGAGTCTCAGAGTGGAAGTTTGAGGTTTCGTGCTTTTTTCGACCACCCTATATATAGGGCGCTGTGATAGGCCTAGGTTTGTATTGAGATTGGAAGGCCGATGCATAAAATGTATTTCACTCGTACCCACCGCAGGCGCCCTGGCCTGCAAAATAGTGGGCACCAGCGAAGGCCTGCCCCTATAAGGCCTAAATAAGTGGCCTTACATTCAGGCCCGGATTATCCATTTGGCACAGTAGCCACTTTTGCCGGGCCTACGCAAAATTCGGGGCCTTCGAAAAAATTCGTGGACCTACGAAAATACCGCAGTGTGCCATATATAAAACAATATGGGGCCTACACACACACGCTGAGGTCTCTCTCAGAATGTTCAATTTCGCCAACTCACGCAGTACAGCATGAAGGCATACATGTATAGCCCCTATGAAATGTACGTGTAGAGTCCGTCGTTCTGAAGTATGGGGGACGGGTGGGGGACATGTCGTCCCTCCCCCCCCCCCAAATTTTTTTTTTAAAAATTCCTGAATATAAAAGTGTATCCAACATTTGATTCTATAGCTCAGAATAGCTGATTCAATGACTCCCAACTCAAAACTGATGTTTTGGCAATATTTGTTCTGCTACCTACCTTATTTTGACAGCCCGTACCCTAACTTTCTTTTTTGGGGGGAGGGAGGGGGATGAGGAAAAAACCGAAACGTCAATTACTACCATTTACCCTTGACTACACGCAGACACCTCCATATGATCGTACACAACCCCCCCCCCCCCCCCCCAAAAAAAAAGATTCCCTATTTTCAAATGCCATGAAATCGGAAGCATTTTTGTTTGGCCTTAAGTGATGATATTAATTGCTAAAAAGTGGTTAAAATGGTCAGAAATTGCCTCAGATTGCACCATAGAGCGTCTAGAATCCATTTTTAAGGGGCCTTTCATAGGCGGGCTCAGGCGCGGTTCTACGGGGGGGGGGGGGCTAGGGGGTGCTGTAGGCCCCCCCCCCCCATTTTGTCTAGCCCCCCAAAAATAAATTCCGTAAAAAAAGAAATTGCATTAGCAAAAAGAAGGATTGTGATGTACATGCGAACGGTCTCCCCCTAAAGAAGAAATAGCCGTGACAAGGGTGCATTAGTTAATATAGTGTGAATGATTTTAGGATTTTATTGGCGCTCCCCATTAAAAATATGGCATGAGCCCCCCCCCCCTGGCCTGCAAAATAGTGGGCACCAGCGAAGGCCTGCCCCTATAAGGCCTAAATAAGTGGCCTTACATTCAGGCCCGGATTATCCATTTGGCACAGTAGCCACTTTTGCCGGGCCTACGCAAAATTCGGGGCCTTCGAAAAAATTCGTGGACCTACGAAAATACCGCAGTGTGCCATATATAAAACAATATGGGGCCTACACACACACGCTGAGGTCTCTCTCAGAATGTTCAATTTCGCCAACTCACGCAGTACAGCATGAAGGCATACATGTATAGCCCCTATGAAATGTACGTGTAGAGTCCGTCGTTCTGAAGTATGGGGGACGGGTGGGGGACATGTCGTCCCTCCCCCCCCCCCCAAATTTTTTTTTTTAAAAATTCCTGAATATAAAAGTGTATCCAACATTTGATTCTATAGCTCAGAATAGCTGATTCAATGACTCCCAACTCAAAACTGATGTTTTGGCAATATTTGTTCTGCTACCTACCTTATTTTGACAGCCCGTACCCTAACTTTCTTTTTTGGGGGGAGGGAGGGGGATGAGGAAAAAACCGAAACGTCAATTACTACCATTTACCCTTGACTACACGCAGACACCTCCATATGATCGTACACAACCCCCCCCCCCCCCCAAAAAAAAAAGATTCCCTATTTTCAAATGCCATGAAATCGGAAGCATTTTTGTTTGGCCTTAAGTGATGATATTAATTGCTAAAAAGTGGTTAAAATGGTCAGAAATTGCCTCAGATTGCACCATAGAGCGTCTAGAATCCATTTTTAAGGGGCCTTTCATAGGCGGGCTCAGGCGCGGTTCTACGGGGGGGGGGGGGGGGGGGGGGGGGCTAGGGGGTGCTGTAGGCCCCCCCCCCATTTTGTCTAGCCCCCCAAAAATAAATTCCGTAAAAAAAGAAATTGCATTAGCAAAAAGAAGGATTGTGATGTACATGCGAACGGTCTCCCCCTAAAGAAGAAATAGCCGTGACAAGGGTGCATTAGTTAATATAGTGTGAATGATTTTAGGATTTTATTGGCGCTCCCCATTAAAAATATGGCATGAGCCCCCCCCCCCCCCCCCCCCCCCCCCCCCCCCCACTTATTAATTTTCGGAGGCCTAAGTGTCTGGAAAAAAATAACCGGTCAACATTTCAGCACGCCTCCCTGAAAAAATTCTGGATCCACCTTGCTAGCCCCCCAAAATATTGGTTCTAGAACCGCGCCTGGGCGGGCTCTCGGAACCCTACGCCATCTGGGCTTCGCACTCGCATAAGTTCTAAACAAGATACACATGTATGTACCACCCAACACTTTTAAGAAGCAATATTGACGCCTTTGGTGCCAACAGGTGTTTTTGAACTATGCCCTAGCTTGATTTGTACAGTACTTTGTACTTTTATAGCATCAACAAGAATTAAGTGCCGGTGCCTAGGGCGGAGTAGGGCCTGCTACAGTGCCTTCGAAACACTTTAATCCGTCCCTGCTTATTTTGTTCCCAGCATCATATCGAAAAATGGACTACTATCATGGACTACTGTACATAAAAACAAAAAGGCTGTCAACCATTGCCAAAAACCCATGGAGGTCAGCAGTGTTTCGAATTATGAAGGCGCCCTCACTATCTCGTCCTTGCACAGCGCCCTCAACATAATGCCCAAAACTCAAGCAATATGAAAACAATAGTGCTGGTTTTTTTTTAGGTGCATTGCAGATTTGATTGTGGAGACCTTGGAAGGTTGTCCTCAAATAACTAAATCTGCATGCATGAGTGAACTGTATAAAAATCTAACTCTCTTTCACGTGAATCCGTGTCGTGGTTCGAAGGTTTCTCATTGCAGTGCATTGTAATTGCCTAGCTGTGCGGAGACGATCTGCCCGTAATCGCATTCAGTACTCATGCAGCCAGAGTGACCGTAAGGTCATGGCAAAATTCTGCTAAATGCGCTTCAAAAATCTGTCAGATTTATCAAAAATCTGCCAAATTCCCCAGATTTCTTCGAAATACACTATTAAAAAAAAAAACCTTAAAATCATATGCAGATTTGTAGTACTGACTTAATCAAGGTTCAAATTACATTATTAGCAATTTATAGTCACATAAAGATGTTATGAAATTATTACGTAAATTTCAGACAAAACGCGCAGTGCAGCGTGAATTCCAGCTCCTAGTGAACCTCAGCGCCTAGACCAGCCAACCTGTCCCATTTATGCAAGGGTTTGATTGAAAAAGATTGAAGATTCTTTTAACAAATGTACATTTTTTTTCACATTTGCTATGGTTTTCTGTAAATAACCATTTTTGCAGAATTATGCCAGAAATCTGCCAAAAATTATCCATTCTGTCAAATTTTCTGTCAAACTCGTTTTTAAACGAAAAATCCGTCAAAGTTAGCCGAAAATCGGCTAAAACGGTCAACCTGCATGCAGCTCAAGTAATTCGGCTCGGCATAAATAAGCCCAAATAAACCGTACGCCAATGCTTCAGCACAAGCGTAGACCTACAATGTTATTTATGATTATTAATAGTACCGGTAAATGTATTAATTATGCATTCCTTGTGTAAGAATCAGCCACTATACATTGTACGCAAGTCGGCACTACAACTAAATACGTGAAATAAAGTCAAGAAAATCGATTCTCCCGCATTTGATGCATCGTCAACCGGTGGTTGCTCCTGTTGACTGAACAAGGCATAGCCATCATTCGATGGGAGACGGTAGCCTTCCCACCACGGAGCCGCTACTGCTCACAACTCCGGCCGTGTTGACCGGAACCATCGAGCCGGGTGACGGGGATGAGGGAGGGGGCTCACAGCCCTCCGAGCGGTTCGAGGTTCCGTTCCTCTTCGTCGTCTTCGTCCTAGGTGTAGTGGGGAATTTCTTCGTGCTTGTTGTCTACTCCCGGAAGAGGTACCGGCGCTCAAACGCCGCTCTGTACATTCTCAACCTTGCACTGGGTAAGTTTCCCCCCTTTTCAAACTGCTCTAGGGGCTAGTAATAGGGGACGGTATATAGCTCGCAAAGATTCCCATATTTGGCCATCACTTGTCACCCTGTGCACAAACCCTATGGGACTGGTCTGAAAATTTGTAAGTGCTTTTTCAGTAAAAATTCAAAAATTTGTCCCTGCTAATTTTGACTTTTTAGGGCATATTATCACTTTCTGATGGCTGATAGGTCATTTAAGGGAAAAATTACTGATGGCCAGATATGTGAATCTTTCCTATAGCTCCCCAGACTGGTACCTTGAGTGCAGAAAAACGTGCAAAACAACCCTCCGTTTCACCAGCCAAGTTTGAAACCAAGTGATTTCAATTTCGAAGCCTAAGACCAGACCGGTATACATGTACAACTGTTTGAAAAACTTGCCTCTTCAGTAGTATGGAGAGATGTGTATATAATTATATATGTCGAGACCGGTACCAGATGTATCTTTTGACACAGTTAATTAACTGATGCAGTACTATAGTAATGGGGTGTTGGACTGGTTGTTTTATGTGCCAGTCTTTTTTTTTTGCATGTTTTCAGTACCTTAAGTTTTGGGACGAGTGAAAACAAATTTCTGAAACAATGATGGTGATTTGTGTCTGTTTTCCTGTGCAAAATTTCGTTCATTCGTGAAGACAGGAAAGCGCCCATGATTCATTGTATTTTTTTTATCATTGGTGGACAGCTGAATTTTGCGAAGTTTGTATTTAAATAGACATAACTTGTGAACGCAGCACGCAAATTACGTGAAAATTTCACAGTTACTAGTCAATAATAATGATGTGCTTTATCCCTGTCATTTTTCTTAAATAGAGCAATCCACATTTTTTTAAAACATATTCTCATTTGGTCACTTTTTTTCACTCAGCCGGTATAAGAAGTACAATTTTTTTTTATTTAGTTCCAAGTTCAGGATCAGAAGATGGAAAATCAGAAGATTGAAAAAGTGGAAAATGTTGTACAAAATCTAACATCAGCTAATATGCACGGAATCTGGTTCTGTCCAATTGACGGTGCAATATCCACGTCAATACAGATATTAAAAAAAAAAATCTAATCAGCCCCATTATAAATAGAACCTTTAAGTGTATAATGCGCATGCAAGATTAGGCCCCACACGAAACGACGACATCGCACTTCGTTACGAATTCCGCTCCACATTTTCATATGTCACCAATATCCCTGCAAAGCTGAACTGGACGGATGAATGAAATATCCTTCAATGACCTGATTAGAACTTCCCTCCCGTTTCGTCTCAGCTCTCTCGAAATCACCTCTCACAGTAACCCAACACTTCGCGGGGATTTCAAGTGTTTTCCCGGCATCCATGGATATCGAGAGGGAGCAGTAGTAACCGTGTTTGTTTATAGTTAAAGATCTCCGTTCATTACGATTACGGCTGAATTTTATTCCCATTTTGTTACTTGATCAGGGCAGAAAACGAGCCTTTTTTGTATATCTACTCCCTTAAAAGTTTATTCGCTCTTTGCGCGGGTATAGAGCGTGCAAGTTGACCTCCAAATCCTGCGAGATTTTACGGGATTACAGTACATACGGGCACCATGTATAGATCTACAACGCGTGTAACGTCCTATTTTTGCATTTATGTCATGACTAAGCACATCCAATACGTGACCATTAATGGGTACTTCGAAAGAAAAGTAAACATTACAATTAACAACATATTGGAAAATGGTTACGAAATTTATAATGAAAATAAAAATCGCTCACTAAGACAACAATAATTATGGGTAAACTCAAACACAGGAGTCAGTAATACTTGCCATGACGTCACAAATTCGCGTTCGCTTTCGCTTTCGCGCCGAGTATGAACCAGGCTTTTTACGAATTCCGAGAATACTTGCCATGACGTCACAAATTCGCGTTCGCTTTTGCTCTCGCGCCGAGTATGAACTGGGCTTTTTCACGAATTCCAAGAATACTTGTTATGACGTCGCAAATTCGCGCCCGATTTGGCTTGGGCGCCGAGTATGAACCGGGCTTTTATCTGTGGGGGTTTCCGGTTGTTGGTGACCAGCCTGTACAGAAGCTATTGAGAGAGGTAGTGGTTACTCTTTGACAGTTTGAATGATGAAAGGTTTGCGGAAACCAAGGGCAGATCCAGAACACAATTTTTTTGGGGGGGGGGGCAAAAAAAAAATTTGGTCCCCCAAAAAAGTGGGTCAAAAATAACGGCGTGGGGTTCGGGGCCCGCTTAAGGGCCCCGAAAATGTTTGGATTCTAGATGCTCTGTGGTGCAATCTGAGGCAATTTCTGACCACTTTAACCAATTTTTTTTTGAGGAAAAGATGGTGGTGTACGCATTGCCTGCCTTTATTGGCGATGTCACATAAAAAAAAAATGGTTTCGTTTGGGGTGGGGGGGGGGGGGGGGTGGGGGCCATGGCCCCCTTTGGTCCCCCCCCTCCCGGATCCGCCCTTGGCGGAAACACCATGTGCGAAAAATTTCTCAACTAAGAGAATGGTTCTGAAAAGAACCAGAGGTACAAAATCGACGTTCTGGTCAGTATGCTCTGACCGTCTTCAGAAACGTCGAGTTTATACCTCTGGTTCTTTTCAGAACCATTCTCTTAGTTGAGAAATTAATCGCACATGGTGTTTCCGCAAACCTTTCATCATTTAATATCTCCACCATGCAAAGCCTCCAATCTTACGTTGACAGTTTGTGACGGTAATAAGGATAGGAGGTTTTTAATCTATTCACACGCCTGTCAGTGCAAGGCCGTACCCTAGACGTGCCTCCAGAGGCTAAGGCTATGGCCTGTTGTCAACGTGCCCACGGTACGGATTGGTATAAATTAACGAAGACCTATAACTCTCGACAACAGATCCGACTGCGGCCTAACCAGATCGCTTTCAATCCAACCGTGCGATGGATCATGAGCCGGCAGTATAACGCATATTAAATTTTATTTCATTGAAGCAATTGATATATATATATATATATATATATATATATATATATATTTCTCTTTATATCAAAGGCCTTTGATTGTTAAAACAAACAAACAAAAAATTTCTTGGTACTCGTAATTAAATTTACAAGGAAAATATGCAAAGTGCATGACTCTGCATGCACGGCAGGCGCATCAGGGACGAAAATGACACGCAAGTCAATTGGCAAGACGCAACCACATTTATATTAATTTATTTATGCTCTAACTTAGGCTTATCATTTCATTTGGCAAATTTAGGGTGATCTAGCCTGGGGGGGGGGGGCATGGTAGCGGGCATGTGCTACCTACAGAATTTTTTTGCGGTCCAAGGGAGGTTGAGACCCCTCCCCCTCCCGTAGATCCATCAATATTTAAAAGACTTTTATCTAATATTGACCATCCTGTTCAGGAAACAAAAGTATTTTTCAAGGATTCAGAAATATAGATGAGGAATAATGCTGGTAAGGGTGTTGGATCGGGGTGGGTATAGTACTCTAAGGCCCAAAAAAAATATTCGGTCTCTGGTCAGACCAAAGTTCCGGAATTGACGCGGCCACGCGGCTGTTTTTTTTTTTTTTTTTTTTTTTTTGCTTTTTTTTTTCTTTCAAGCTTGGATTGTACAGACAAGGTGGGTACTATTTTGCTTTTTTGGTGTCCTCATGTACATTTGTGTCCTCCATAATTTGCCTGGGTGCTTTCGATCATTTGCCTTGGTGCAATTTCCCATTCCTTGGTGCTCTTTGGTAAAAAAAATTGAGAAGGTGCAGAAATAGAGGGCGCTGTTGGAGCTACTGCGGAACATTTTGGAAAAAAAAAGATCGACGCGCATGATTAAAATCGACGCGCGCGCTGACCAGAGACCGACTTTTTTTTTTTTGGCCTAACCTTGCATACACTCTTTGTGGACCTGTGAACAAACGAGATGCAGGAAGCGTGAACGCTTTGTGTACTTGCACACGTCCACACTAGGTTTCCCCCTCTCTGGAAAACAGCTTTAGAGGCATGTTTGGGTTAGGTTTAGATGTCGCAAAGCGAACAGGAACACTCAAGGAAATCATGATAAAACATTTGGGTTGAAAGAGTGTTTACACCGGGGGTAAAAGGAGTTTTTTTCTCCGGTTTTGCTTAACTACTCGAATACAAAGGAATGTCCACAGTAGATATGTAAGGTTGAGTAAGGGTTGGTAGAATAAAAATTCGAATGCACTGACGGGATGTCCCTGTCCATTCTTGATGCCCCACTCAAAATATGCAACATCAGCTTTTGCTGTAATTTTCAGAAATGGATTGATTTGGGGTTAGTATTGTAGGCCCAAGCAAATATTGTTACTCCAAACCAAGAAAACTAATCATGTTCTTGTAGTCTGGTTCCCTGACCCACTAAGATGAACTGGAGCAACTTTATAGGCGTCCGGCGTCGGGGAATTGTAAGGTCAGGGAACCAGTCTAGCTGGCTTGTAGCCGTTCACAGGAGTGTAATCGATTGCAAACGAAATGCGGACTTACTTGGGGGCAGTATTGGGGAAAATTTATTTAATCTACTTTTTGGACAGCAAACATGTACTAGTTTCATTTATTACTGTAGAAAATAGATTTGACTGGAAAACAGTCAAACCTGCACCCAGCTGACGATAGGGTCAGCTGAGTGCACGTTGGACCGGGTGGAAATTTAACGAGAGTGTGTTTTTTAATGCGAATTGCGAGTGCATTCTGCCGTCCAACACTTCGTTTCAAGTGGGCCAGTGACGTCATCTACGCGTCCTCAACAAGTCCTGTAACGAATGAAATTTAATTATTCGAACACTTTAATTTGCGGCACTCTAGTTGTCATGGTGTTGGAATATTGACCTGAGGCTGACACAAATTGAAGCAAACCTTCAATTGGCCGTGTGTCCATGGCAACAGATTTCCCACCTGCGGGAGAAAAGGGCATCAAGTTCACAGAAAACACAAGGTGAGTAATTGGACTCAATATCGTGAAAAATGAGTCATTTTGTCCGTGTAGTGAGACACTTTGAGCCAAAGTGTGTCACTACACGGACAGAATGACTCATTTTTACGATCATAATGAGTTAAATTACTCACTTTGTGTTTTCTGTGTTGCAGAGAACTTCAAAGCAAGGTCGCTACTTACCCGGTAGATGCATTACCATTTGACCGACCTTACTGCCATTAAACGTTCAAGTATTTCAGGAGAACTAGGATGGTCATGAACGTGCATACGCTAAAAGAGATTACAGAGGACACTCAACATCTGACCTGCCTTGAATTGTTTAATTATCCCTTTAACTTGAAAAGGGGTATTTAGTTGATGTCGGTTTATTTGCTGTCAATTGACTACTGAAACCTTTTTGCCAGAACTCTTAGGGATTTCAAACTTAAACTAAAGGGCCCATGCCATGTAATTTGTTTTAATACAATCATTGATAAGGCACCTTTGTGTCCCATTCAACCTTGTATTAAATTTTCGTTTTGCGATTTTTAAAGGGTATTTTGGTGCCTTTTTGGTTTTTTATGCGAGTGCAATTTCCATATTCATCAGCAAAAGTGTGATGTCAGTTCAGGCAGAAACCTGAATGTTATATTTCAGCACCAAAAGTTGCCAGAATTTGGGGTATTTTGCTGTCGTAATTTTTTTTAGTGATTTGTTGTTGTGTTAGTATGATGGCAGTATTAAAGCCAATGAGAAAACTTTTCTCACAAATGTTTTCACATGATGAGCCAATGTTTGGGTTCACAATTTGAACAGAAAACCCCTATTATAAACTGAACAGTGTCTTCCTGAAATGACATCACAGCAACAGCGACCTCAGTTGTCCAGAAAACCATGGATTTTTTTTAATGTTTGAAGAAGTGCACTTTAAAAAAAACTTACCAAAAAGGGATGTCAAATAGTTTTCATACATTTAAGAAGAAGAGCAGAAAGTCGCATAATGTGTTCCTATATCAGAAAATTCATCTCATAGACCCTTTAACAAAATACGTATTTACGGCCAATCGTTATCGGCATCGATGGGTTTGTTTATAATATAGGACCGTGCCGTGTAACTCTACACTATCAAGTCACGGATGAGTCAAAGTCAGAATTGCCAACACGTGCACTATGCCAAGCAGATGTGGGGAAGTGACATTTTCCCCTAGGTAATACCGTAATGGTCAAATTGCGGTTGTGACCATCAGAAGGTATATGGTCATCTCCGATCGACAAATGGACAGTCAGATTAGATTCCAACCCTAAACCCACTGGGGGAAAACGTAGACAAGAGCTAGGCCGACGCAGGCTGATCTCATTTAGGTCTGCACGCTCGTTAGGCCTGACGAAATTACAAATGGCGCCTGGTAAAGCAATATGTAAAGCAAAAAATTAATAAAACGTAATTACCGAGAGGCCGAATCCATGTCGAAGGCGTGTAGGACTTTGTTAGCGGAATAAATGGAATTCTGGTCTTCGGAAACATCTATGTCGTAAGCCAAAGGGGATTAATTAAATTTGATACTTTAATTAAAACCCTAACCATCTTGACTGATTTAGGAGGAACCTTCCCCAGTCCTGCAAATTCCAACATCAAAATGTTAAACTCTATACGCCCAAGCTGTTGGACTCATTGGGCGTCACCAGGATTTTTTTCTAGAGGGGGGCAAAGCACACCCCCCTCCCCGAAATCCATGTTCTTTTCCAACATATTCTGGGTTTATCATTTTTCGAGGGTGGACAGGGACATTTGCCCCCCCCCCCCCACCCCATTAAATTAACAGCAATACGACATTGCGCCTTTTTAAATTTTAGTTTTTTGCTTTTACGGGGGGTGGGAGTGCCCCCCATGCCCCGCTCGCGACGCCCATGGTTGGACTCTGATTATGGTGGTGTGCCCCGTGTAAAGCATAATCAGTTTGCTAGTGCAGTACTTATTCTAACAGATTCCAACAAACCCTGGTGTTGGAGTTTGACTGGATGGGGACTGTTAGGGTTAACATAATTTTTACTACATCAAAAAATAATCGAGTTGGACTTTCGCCTCACAGATTCGCCACCAAACCGCCATTTCTTGATGTCCCTATGGTCAACCATTCGTTATGAGTATAGCAAATCTCAATTATCACTTTTAAAAACAAAAGGAAGTTTGTCAACGGTAGTTCAAGTTGTACATTTTAAACGTTCTTCTTCCCAATATATTAAACTCGCGGAGGTCCGAATTTTGCACCACAAAACTAGAAGATGCGTTTGAAACAATTGCACACAGTTTTCACCTCACTAGTATGAACCGTACACATGCAATGAGCCCGGCACATGCGAGTGTTTTGATGACCAGTCCTTCACCCAATTGATGTTAATTGGAATCACGTAAAATGTAATGGTCTCGCTTCCCGTTTCGTGAAAGGCTCAATCAATCCAACTAATAATGAACATTTCTGTGAAGATTCCCTCTAATGGGTTAGCATAGAAAACGGTTTTACAGTATAACCGTCAAAATCCTTGGATGACTCATCCATTTTAAACGGGCTGTGAAATTGGCGCGCAGGACGGTAGTCTGAGCGGGGTATACGCGTCGTGGGACCGGCGGGGTTGATCCCCTCACCCGCCGATCCCATTTTCCGCGGTCTTGCGGAGTTGAAAACGTCAGTGGCAGTTAAAAGATCTAATTTATCAACCGCTGACGATACGGCAGTTATAAAGCGTCCGTAATGCCATACCAGCATTATGATTTATGCCCTAATTAATTTGCCTTTAAAAGATGCAGTCCTTGTAGGCCTAAATGTATCCTTGTGTCTCACTTAACCTTATTTAAATTTTCATTTTGCCATTTTCAAGGGTATTTTGGTACCTTTATGGTTTTATGCCGATGCTATTTCCATATTCATGAGCAAAAGTGTGATGTCATTTTAGGCATACAATTCATTGTTATACAGCTGCTCCAGCATCAATAGTTTCTAGACCTTGTGGGGTTTTGAAATGGTACTTTTGTTCGGCTTAGGTGATACATTGAAAAAGACTTGGAACAAAATTTATGCACACGGTTTTGCCCGTGACAAAACGTCATTGTGGGTTCACAAAAAGCCCTAACCTCGAGGAGTGGATATCTGCGCAAAATGGATTCCTGTCATAACCCTTAAAAGTGGACAGAGCGGTGCGGTCAAGTAGTGCAAAGTCACGAACTTTTGCATGGGCAGTAATTGACCTCGGGCAATATAGTGCTTTTCACTCGAGTGACCCTAGCCAGCAATGGGAAGAAAATATACTGACAGGGTTTCAATCAATTATTTTGAAGGACATTTCTACCCATTGTTTAAAATTATTCCCATGAAAATGCAAGGGCCCAATGGAACGTTGACCACATCATTGGTCTGGCGCCCTCAATCTGAAATGAAAGGTCACAATCTTTCGGAACATCCGGGGAGCACATTTGCTCCAAAATATATCAAAAGCTGTTACTATCCGCTCCGTTCACACAAGTACCCCCTCACCGGCAAAGAAAGTACAGTTGGGGGTGACCGACCGACGCCAACTTACCTGACTGCAATTTTGCCGCGACGCGCTTCCGTACCACTGCGTGTCTACGTGTACATAGTACAAATCCCCTGGTGTACGTGCGTCACACACAAGAAACGGTGCGCGTCAACCAGCTAAATGTCCCGCCCATGGGACGCCGTTGCTGGGTAAAAGGGTGCCCTCTTTCGTTGGCACAGGGAGCCCATAGAGACATACAGCTGCAACGGTTTAAGACAGCGGTAAGCTAATCATGCGCGCAAATGCTATCCGAAAACTTTCCCATAGAAATGCATAGTTCCATGCCAGATGTGATTCCTTTTTCATTGCGGACCATGCCGACAAATTTGAGCTTGCGTCGCATAATATGCAATTTGACCCTTCGAGAATTCGAAACGGAGCCTGAGCAAGTGACGGGAATTAAACATTGACTAAACAGATAACTTTTACAGATTTTCTTACATATGCTTTTTAACGGAAAAAAAGCATTTATGAATGAATACGAAATGAATACTGAAACGGGAAAAATTCTGCAACTGAATATGTATGAGGTAAAAAAAAATAACATGGTTCATTTCGCTCCTATCGCTTCGCCTCGGGAACTAGTTTGTCAACTTCCAATACCGAGGGGAGCTAATATCAACTATCAACCCGAAATAAACCATGTAATATTTGTATACTGTCCTCTTTCTACCAATTATTATTGTTCCCTCCCTTACTTGAGTCAACAGAGGACGCTACAGGTTTTTTCATGTTCTTTTACAGGTGACATGCTTGCTCTCACGGTTGTCTTGTTCCACATCACCGAGTTCTTCAAGGTCACCTGGCCCACCCTCTGGCGGACCGACCTGCAGTGCAAGGTGCACCGCTACTTCCGGTTCGTGGCCTTTGACCTGACGGTCTTCAACATGGTTGCCATAGCGATCGACCGCTACTTCGCCGTGGTGCATCCGCTGCGCTTCCGGCTAATGTTCACCGCCCGTCGGACCAAGGTCATCTGTGTGGTCATTTGGGTCCTGGCCTTCATGGCGGCCATACCCACGCCTTTCATGTTCAAGGTATTGCGCCCCCACGAGACAATTTGTTGATTGGGATCAGATTCAGAATATCCCACGTTCGCTCGTACCCCCCCCCCCCCCCCCCCCCCTGCAAACAGGGCGCTGGGAAGGGCTGATGCCGCTTCACAGAATCTTGTGAAGGAAGTACGGATGGTTTTCTGGGTAACTTATCATGACCTGCGCAAAATCTATCCAACGAGAGCTCTAAAGATCAGCCCTTCCCAGCGTGCAGGGCGGGGGTACGAGCGAAAACTGATCATGTACGTCGTTCGTAATTAGACTGGTTCCCAGTCCGGTCTCTCCACCATCAGTGACTTTAAATGTAGCGACGTTAGTAATGCCATGCTTTATCCGGTTCGGAAGTGACTGATGCGTCATACGGGCGCGCATCACTAGCGCCCTTTAACTTGACGCCACTTTACGTTATTTCATGTTCAGTGGGCGTGGTTTAACTTGAAATGACGTCACAATTACGAACCGGATTCCTCTCGGTATATGCTAAGTAAGAAGCATCGGTATTCCCACAATGCAGAGAGTCTTGGGTACTCCTCCCTAGCTCTAGGTCTCTTGCGTACGGGACGGGGTAAGAACCGTTGGATCATTCCAACCTCCTAGTTTGCCTTTTTTCCAGAGATTTTAATGCCTTGGGTATATGAAACGTGCATATCAGTCACACATTGCCCGAAGTTCACACATATCCATGCATGCTGTAACTAGCTTGTGCTTTTAATTTATTGATCATACAGAGGGCACCTGTGCCATGCTGCAACTAGCATTTTTAGACCTTCGTTTCTACGCACGCGCAAATGTTGTCCATCCAATCAAAAGTTAACATGCGAGATAGCTATCGATCCCCATATTTTGAAGTGGAAACCAGTCTAGTTCATTATGTAACAAATGTTGGGAAACAAATTGTGGAAATATCATGTTGGAGCAGTTTAGCAACATTACTTCAATCTAAAAGTAAAAGTAATGAATCAAAGCGACATGAAAACGTCCTTATACGGCGCCCTCAGTGGCTAAAAATATTGTGTTTTTTTCGCTTACATCATTCAATTCGCCTTGCCCAAAGTTTGCACTTTCATACAAGATTTTGTATATAACTTGGATCAGCCTGTATTTATTAGGGGTCTTTATTAATCAAAATCGTCATGTTAGTGTTTACTCGTCAAATTTGTTCTCGTTTTTCTGCCAGGCGATCTACAACAACGACACCTCTTTGGGCACTGTCACCTACACAGGGAAACTGCCATTTGCTTGTAAGGTGATCACGCCCTTCGGGCCTTGGTGGCCCGAGTTTAAGAGCATCTACCTGAACATTGTGCTCTTTTACGTACCCACCATCCTGACAGCAGTCATCTACGTCATCATCATTGTCACCATTAAAAGAACCATCAGGCCACTGAAGAAAACCACCAACGGTCGGTCGGCAGACGCCGCCAACGTCAGCCTCCACCAGCGGTTCAATAGCTGGAAGTCGGCCCGGACGCTGCTGGTGGTCTTCGTGGCGTACGTGGTGTGCTACGGTTTCTTCGCCACGTACAACGTGCTGTTCCGGTACGCCAAGGGACTGTCCGTCCCGCCGGAACTGTACAACCTGGCCCTGCTGCTGCCCTTCGCCAACAGCTGCATGAACCCCATCATCTACTCGTTCATTACGGCCAGTTTTCGCAAGGCGTGCAGGGAGCTGTTGTGCCGCCGCGGCCGGCGGACGGACAGATTCTGCAGGGACACGGCGAGTAGGGATGACGCCCTGGGACAGCCTGTGGTTTTGAAATTGAAAGCCATGAATACCGACAACTACTCAAATAGCGTGTCATTTTTCTAGGCCGGCCTCAGGTCGACCCAAGATTTGCTTGCACCCCGACGGAACCGTCGGCAGCCAGCACACAAATTATGCTAAGCTCACAAAACTGCGAAATCGTGTGATTGTCGCGGAACATGTCGCAGAAGTTGAAACTTTTCTACTCTTGCGACTGTTGATATAGACGGATCGTAACTCGGGCACAGCTTCATCCTGAAAAAAGTCAGTCGCCGACTGATCTGTATCGTCGCATACTTCCCTATCGTCGACAGCCACCATTTTGACACGGGTTCGATTCCTCAAGGACCTTATTCACGAGGACGCCATTTTGGTCGTGTTCCCTGAATATATTGTGTAAATTGTGAACTGTTGAATGGGATGGTGCTGCCAGACTATTTTTACATTCAAGCCTCACTTTTTATTTTTTTTTAAATGTTGCTTAAAACATTGGGATATGTTTTCATCACAAATTTAAAAATTAGTGACATCAGGGGTGATCCTCCATTCCTTCAGAAACTTTCGGTTGCAGCACGCGCCTTCCGCCGCTGTCTCCAGCGCTGTATCGACATTCTGAAAGTGAGTATTTGTTTTCGTATGGCGTTAAATCTAACCCTCTTGCACAAAACTGATGACTTAAAATTTGTCATTCCTTTTTTACGTCCAACATTTTTGGTTTAATTCCATTGGCATTCACAACAAAGTCAATTATGATCAAAAGAAGGCCTTTTTTTACCGGTAGTAGATACCACACCGTGTTAATGGTGCTAGAGTCCTTGAGCAGCACACTTTGTCACAATACAAGGAGTATATGGACACCTGTGACCAATGAGAACTTTTATCTTATAGCGAAATATAATGACCTACCTCGGGAGGTTTGTATATGAATAATACATAAAAAGATGTTTTGATGTTTTTACGTCCCAGAAAAATGTTTAAATTCCTGGTTTTTGTATTCAACATGCAAGTTATGGGTACTGCTGTACTATTTTAAGGTGATAAAGAAATTGTATTCTAATTGTTCATATGTGTATATGTTTTTGTAGTTACACTCGGGAAACACTGATCAAATATTTTAATATCTTTCTAAACTGCTTTTAGTGTAAATTATCATGTTATCGGAGTTTGAAATTAAAGTTTACTGTATTCATTTTTAAGCCAAGTCTTTAACAATTCAATTTTTGTCGTGAGCAGACGGTTGAATTTAATTCTACTCCAAGAAATTACGCCCGAAGCACGCTACATCACTAAAAGGCAAGCTACAAGTTAGAAATTAACAGTCATTCAGTTGATTGAAACCCCAAATACATGCATAACAAAGGACATAAAATTGTGATGTATATAGCGCTATTAGGTTTGGAGAATAATTAATTTTACTTCGTACTTAAAGAAAAGGCAAAATATGAAACACGAAGATAAGAAGCACCACAAGAAGTTTGCATATTTGTCAAAAACGTTATAATGCTGGCTCAATGAAATTAAAACTGAAATTCATGCTTTAATCATCTTGGTCAATCTATAGACCACATGCTTGGTACGCCCTCAGTGGGTGCAGTTTGTGTCATTTGGATTCAGTGAGAATGAAAGTACAATGCGTATACACGTGCATATCACCGGGGGACTAGGTCCTCCCTCAGATTTGACATTTATGAAAGTATCATTGGATTGAATCCAGCCACCACCAGCAGAGGCCATCAATGATGAGGTGTTGCATTGTACGCGCTCGTAAGGCGACCAAAATACACGAACCACTTTAAAATGCTTACAGTGTCCGCTAATGGTGGCCGGTGTATATGTAGTCCGTGTTGTTAATCAACAAGATGAACTCATTCGCGTGGTAGCAAAGCAGCGACATAGGGATCTAAATTCGACGTCTCGTCTTCTACTGTAAGTTCTGGCGGGAAAGTGAACCCTTGCCTCTGGAGGTCGGCCAGCCTCCTCGCCAGCAGATCCTTCCTCTTCCTCTCCCGTTTCAGCCTTTCTCGCCGTTCCTCGCGCAGGACGAGAATCCGGTAGGCCTGTAGGGCGACCACGATCAGGTTCTTGCAGGTGAAGAAGATGTTGGTGTGGCTGTAGACTTGGTAGTGGACGATCAGCGTCAGGCGGAAGACCAGGAAGGGCCCGTCCTGCAGGAGGATGCTGGCCACGATGGACCAGACGTCGCTCTCCAGGCACGTGAAGGTCGGGGTCGCGTCCTCTCGCACCTCGTGCTCCGGTTTCACTGGGATTATCAACTCATCAAGGAGGGTCTGTTGGCTTCCATGGACCGGCACCACGACCCGAGACACGGCCAAGCGTGGGAAACGCTTAAACACCGCCCTCTGGAGATGACCTTTGCTCAGGCCCGCGGTCGCCGTTGACGTGGCCGTCTCTGATTGGCTGGGGGTGATTATTTTCGTCTCCGCGTTCCTGGTAGCCGTCATGACTAGCGAAAACTGCAGCAGGCTCCAGCTCCACAGGGTGAGGAGGGTGATTACCAGCGGACGATTGTATTTGATGGTGGGCTCCTTGAAGCCGTCAAAGAACTCGATGATGTCAGACGCCGTGGCGAAGTAGACCAGCAGGAGCTGGGACAACTCTTCTCGAGTGATGGCGCCCTTCGGTAGCATCCATCGACACACAATGAGCAGCAAAGGGAGCATCTGCTCCGTTATGAGAATCCACCCAGTGGTTGTGCCGTAAATCTGAGGTATGAAAGAAAAAGATATATGTTTCACTGATATATTTTGACTCAAATTTTCGACGCATTGTTCCTTTCTAACGGCACATATGTCCAGGAATCGAGTTGGAATGTCTTCTAGGGTCCCTTAGGCATCTTTCCTAGAAGTTTGGCGCAAATTAATTTTTTAGCCAACATTGAAACAAATTGCAAGGGGTTAGCCTTGCATTTTTCACCAAAGTTGGCAAAAAAATGACTTTTCTCTAAACGACGCAGAAATGACTTTTGATGCAAGTAGAGTAGTATACAATATTCAGAGTGCCATGATTTCAAAGATTTGGGCACAAACAATCGAGTTGTTGAGAAAAAAAATCATATTTTTCACTGATTTTGACTCAAATATTCGACGCATTGTTCCTTTCCATAACAGCCCATCTGTCCAGAAATCGAGTAGGAACGTCTTCTAGGGTCCCTTGGGCATCTTTCCTGGTAGTTAGGCGCATTTAATTTTTTTAGCCAACATTGAAAACAATTGCAAGGATATTTTTTCTTTAAGACGCCAAATCTGTCCAAAATTCCAGTTCGAATGTGCTCTAGGGACCCTTAGGCATCTTCCCTGCAAGTTTCAAACAATTTTATTTTTCGGCCAAAATTGAAAAAATTGCAAGAGGTTAGCCTTACTTTTTGATCAAATTTTGCCAAAAATTGACTTTTCTCCAAACAACTGAGCAATGTTTTTGGATGTAAGAGAAACCATTTATCGACCTTCAAACACTCAATATATTGAAAATTTCTGAAAAAAATCCTCGACTTATTGAGACAAATATTAATATTTTTCACTAATTTTGACTCAAATTATCCACAAAATTTTCTTTAAAACGCCAAATCTGTCCAAAATTTCAGTTCAAATATGTCCAGGGACCCTCAGGCATCTTCCCTGCAAACTTCAAGCAGTTTCATTTTTTTGTCAAAAATTAAAAAAATTGCAAGGGGTTAGCCTTACTTTTTGATAAAATTTGGATAAAAACTGACTTTTCTCCAAACAATTCAGAAATGTCTTTGGATGCAAGAGAAACATCAATCGACCTTCAAATGCTATAAATATTGAAGATTTCTGAAAAAATCCTCGAGTTATTGAGAAAAACATTAACAATGTTCACTCATTTTTGACCGAAATTTTCAAAGATAATTTTCTTTAAACCACCAAATGTGTCTCGAATTCCTGTTCGAATATGTCGAGGGACCCTCAGCCATCTTCCCTGCGAGTTTCAAGCAATTTCATTTTTCGGCCAAAATTGAAAAAGTTGCAAGGGGTTAGCCTTACTTTTTGATCAAATTTGTCCAGAAATTGTCTTTTCTCCAAACAACTCAGAAATGTTTTTGGATGCAAGAGAAACATCAATCGACCTTCAAACGCTAAAACTATTAAAGATTTCTGAAAAAAAATCCTTAACTTATTGAGAAAAATATTAATAATTTTCACCAATTTGGACCATTAGAAGTGACTCCGGGAATCTCGAATTGAATTTTTCGCGGTTAGTACACTGTATTTCCTTAAATCATATTTAATTTATTCTTCAATGGTTCCCGTCAATTTTTTAAACCATCGATATTCTATATCCCAAACAATTATTAGACGAAATTTAAATTCAGTGTACTGTGTTATTCTTGAGTTATTGTCTCCACAAAGAATGCTTTATTTAAAGTATTTAACTCGAATTCGAATTGAATTTTTCGCGGTGTGTACACAGTATTTCCTTAATTAATATTACATTTTTTTCTTCAATGGTTCCCGTAGATTTTCAAACCATTTCTGTCCTATATCCCAAACAATTTTGGAACGAAATTTCAATTCAGTGCACTGAGTTGTTCTTGAGTTGTCTCCACAAAGTCCATTACTTGTGCCAACTTCGTTTGGGCAGATCGTATCCACGTTGACTAGTCTTTGCGGTGTGGTGACCAGTATTTGTGTAGTGCGCCCTCTGTTGGAAGAAGTTGATGTTTGTAAAATGTACGGCAGTGCTCTTACACATTGTCGTTTTTGTTTTAGTTGTATTAATTTTTGTCAAATTTCAAATATATTGTCACGAATATCACAGTCAACTATGGGACGCAATTTTAAATCAGTGCAATGTGTTTTACTGGAGTTATCGTCTCCACAATGTGGGATTTGTTTTTGTTCCATTTAAAGTAACTCGAATTTGAATTTAATTTTTCGCAGTATCTACACAGTATTTCACGGCGATTGACAGAAAAACAACATTTCGTTTAAATCTCCTGTCTAGTTTGTTTATTTTTAATGATGAATCATCAGGTCACAATTCAATTAAATGCGTCACTTAATTTTTGAGATAGCGTGTCCACATGGACTATAATTTCTGTGCAAAAGTGAGGCAAATGGTCTGTTTAGACTGCGACTGCAGCCCATCGCCAAGTTTTTCTCCGTGTTGACACAAACACCGTTGATGGAGAGAAAAACAACATTTCGTTTAAATCTTCTGTCTAGTTTGTCTATATTTAATGAGGAATCATCGGGTCACAATTCAATTCAATTCGCTTACATACTTTTGGAGATAGCGTGTCCACATGGACTATAGTTTCTGTGCAAAAGTGAGGCAAATGTTCTGTTTAGACTGCGACTGCAGCCCATCGCCAAGTTTTTCTCCGTGTTGACACGAGACACTGTTGCTTGAGAGAAAAACAATATTTCGTTTAAATCTTCTGTCTAGTTTGTCTATTTTTAATGAGGAATCATCAGGTCACAATTAAATTCAATTCGCTTACATACTTTTGGAGATAACGTGTCGTCATGGACCATAGTTTCTGTGCAAAAGTGAGGCAAATGTTCTGTTTAGACTGCTATCTCCAAACGTAAGCGAGCGAATTTAATTGAATAATTGGAAAATATTAATAATTTTCACTAATTTTGACCGAAATTATCAAGGATAATTTTCTTTTAAACGCCAAGTCTGTCCAAAATTTCAGTTCGAATGTGCTCTAGGGACCCTCAGGAATCTTCCCTGCAAGTTTCAAGCAATTTCATTTTTCGGCCAAAATTGAAAAAGTTGCAAGGGGTTAGCCTTACTTTTTGATCAAATTTGGCAAAAAATTGACTTTTCTCCAAACGACTCAGCAATGTCTTTGGATGCAAGAGAAACATCAATCGACCTTCAAATGCTAAAAATATAAAAGATTTTTGAAAAAAATTCTCGACTTACTGAGAAAAATATTAATAATTTTCACTCATTTTGACCGCAATTTTCGAGGATAATTTTCATTTAAACGCCAAATCTGGCAAAAAATTTCGGTTCGAATGTGCTCTAGGGACACTCAGGCATCTTCCCTGCAAGTTTCAAGCAATTTCATTTTTCGGCCAAAATTTAAAAAATTGCAAGGGTTTAGCCTTACTTTTTGATCAAATTTGGCCAAAAATTGACTTTTTTCCAAACAACTCAGAAATGTCTTTGGATGCAAGAGAAACATCCATCGACCTTCCAACACTAAATATATTGAAGATTTCTGAACAAATCCTTGACTAATTGAGAAAAATATTAATAATTTTCACTCATTTTGACCGCAATTTTCGAAGATAATTTTCTTTTAAACGCCAAATCTGTCCAAAATTTCAGTTCGAATGTGCTCTAGGGACCCTCAGGCATCTTCCCTGCAAGTTTCAAGCAATTTCATTTTTTGTCAAAAATTAAAAAAATTGCAAGGGGTTAGCCTTACTTTTTGATCAAAATTGGATAAAATTGACTTTTCTCCAAACAATTCAGTAATGTCTTTGGATGCAAGAGAAACACCAATCGACTTTCAAATGCTAAAAATATAAAAGATTGCTGAAAAAAATTCTCGACTTACTGAGAAAAATATTAATAATTTTCACTCATTTTGACCGCAATTTTCGAGGATAATATTCTTCTAAACGCCAAATCTGTCCAAAATTTCGGTTCGAATGTGCTCCAGGGACCCTCAGGCATCTTCCCTGCAGTTTCAAGCAATTTCATTTTTCGGCCAAAATTGAAAAAAATTGCAAGGGGTTAGCCTTACTTTTTGATCAAAAGTGAGGCAAATGTTCTGTTTAGACTGCGACTGCAGCCCATCGCCAAGTTTTTCTCCGTGTTGATACGAGACACTGTTGCTTGAGAGAAAAACAATATTTCCTTTAAATCTTCTGTCTAGTTTGTCTATATTTAACGAGGAATCATCAGGTCACAATTTAATTCCATTCGCTTACATACTTTTGGAGATAGCGTGTCCACATGGACTATAGTTTCTGTGCAAAAGTGAGGCAAATGTTCTGTTTAGACTGCGACTGCAGCCCATCGCCAAGTTTTTCTCCGTGTTGACACGAGACACTGTTGCTTGAGAGAAAAAAAATATTTCGTTTAAATCTTCTGTCTAGTTTGTCTATTTTTAATGAGGAATCATCAGGTCACAATTCAATTCAATTCGCTTACTTTTGGAGATAGCGTGTCCACATGGACTATAGTTTCTGTGCAAAAATGAGGCAAATGTTCTGTTTAGACTGCTATCGACACGCAACTTTCAGGAAATTTAATTGAATAATTGAAAAATATTAATAATTTTCACTAATTTTGACCGAAATTATCAAGGATAATTTTCTTTAAAACGCCAAATCTGTCCAAAATTCCAGTTCGAATGTGCTCCGGGGACCCTCGGCCATCTTCCCTGCAAGTTACAAGCAATTTCATTTTTCGGCCAAAATTGAAAAAAATGCAAGGGGTAAGCCTTACATTTTTAGTCAAAATCGGCCAAAAATTGACTTTTCTCAAAATAAGGCAGCAATTCATCTGGATGCAAAAGGAACATCAATCAATACTCTGAAACACATAATTTTGAAGATTTGGGCAAAACTCGTCAATTTTTGGAGAAAAAAAGGTAATTTTTTTAGCGATTTTACCTTATCGGCCAAAAATTGACTTTTCTCAAAAAAAGGCAGAAATTCATCTGGATGCAAGAGGAATATCAATCAATACTCTGAAACACATAATTTTTAAGATATGGGCAAAAATTGTCAATTTTTGGAGAAAAATAGGTAATTTTTGGAGCGATTAACCTTTATTTTTCGACAGAATTTACCCTTCAATAGCACAATTGTCCAGCAATCGATTTGGAATGCGTTCTAGGACCCTTCAGGCATCTTTCTAGCAACTT